CTCCACCCCAGTCTCTGGAGTAAGCATGAGCGTCTGCTCCGGCCCAACCCAGCCCACCCCCTGGACTCACCCTGCCCGCGCAGGCTGGCTCAGTCTCTGGTGTGTGTAAGCTTGAGCGCCCCCGCTGGCCGTCAGCCGAACACAAGCGCAGGTCAGAGCGTTTGTGCAGCCGTCAGAGCAGTCGCAGCACGCTGAGAAGAACGGCTCCGCGCTGAGGAAGCATCCGTGCGGCCAGCGTTCCTTCCGGTAGCGAAACTCCTTCACCCACGTCCCGTCCACCTCGTTAAACAGAGGCACGGGAACCGGCTCGATCCCGCGGCTGAGGTCGCGCTCGAACAGGAGCCCCGGAGACGCGGGAGCTCGCGCCTGACGTTCGGGAACGATCTGCGCATTGAAGCTGAAGTTGCTCGGCTGCAACACGCCCTGAGTGTCGGACTCGCACAGGAACTGAAGCACTTCCTCAATCGAGCGCAGGCTCCGCCCACACGGCGCCTTATAAAGCACGTCCGCGTCCTCACACTCGTCCTCGGCCTGGACCCGCGCGCAGTGGCGCTGGAACTGGCACAGCATGGGCACCCGCAGCGGGTTGTGTCCCAGGAAGCGGTCGGCGTGAGCGGGGAGCGCCGGAACACACGCCGGGCTGCAGTCGTGAGGATGGTACACCAGCGGCGCCGGAGACCGGGCCTCTTCAGAACACAAGCTCAGAGGAGACAGGAGCAGCGGGAGATCCGGACCGGTCCGGCTGGCGGAGGACAGCTGACTGTGGTCCGAGCCCGACTCCGCGTCTCTGGAGAGTCTGAGTGAGAGCGCGAGATCATCCGTGAGAACAGAACACTCACACACATGTTTTATTCAGCGACGGAAACAAGCGTACACACACACTCCAGTACTCTAGAGCCCGAGACCACAGATCCAGTGTTGGGGAAACATGCTTATAACGGTAATGACTAACTGCGGCACTTACTTACTCTTTATGGAAAGGAATGCGCTACATTACATTAGTGTTACTTTTTCTCACCGGGGCTTGTTTGTTTTTTAATAACAATGAGTTACATGTCATGCATTTCCCCAACACTGTATAAATCTCACAGTAGAGATGATGATGATGATGATGACGAACCGTGAGCCGTCCTTTAGCAGAGCGTCCTCCGTCTCGTTCCTCGAGCTCTCCGGAGAACACTGAGACTCTGATACGGTCACCGTCAGGATATCTGAAACACAGCAGACACACACTCTCGTGACACACACAGTATTGATCATCAGGACTGATCAGGATCGGGACAAACCTTCATCAATCAGAACCTCTTGGATGGCTTCGGGCCGGAGGACGATCACCTTCGACTCTAGAATGATCTTCATGGCCTGAACGTACTCTGAAACAAGAGTGTGAGTGAGTGTGTGCGCGAGAGTGTGTGTGTGTGTGTGTGTGTGTGTGTGTGTGAGTACCTCTGTCTGTTGCGGTGTTGTGTCTAATCGCCTCTCGTAAAAGAGAAAGAACCTCGATCAGATCATCAAACACCTCATCAACATCCACTTCCTCCCAGAAGGTCTTCGCTCGCTCTGAAACACACGATCATCTTCTGATCAATAACTGATCAATAACTGATCAATAACTGATCACTGATGATCATCGAGGGAACAGTCTCTCAATCTCAGGGCTAATAACATTATAGAACGTTCGACTCGGAGTAATCTGCTCTTTAATGATGTTATGAAAGCAATTAGCACAAAAAGTATACATCGTTCTTGGAACGTTTTGGTTGGATTTTCGTCTGAAATGTTGCTGTTTCAGATCGTTCAGAGAACATTTAAAAGTTACATTCCCGTAATGTTTGAAGAATGATCCCCTTAACGTTCACATAACCAATAAAAACAACGTGTGTGTGTGTGTTTTCAGAACATTTAAAAACTGGATGTTCTGAAAACACTCAGAAATAACGTTTTAATAAATGAATGTGAACGCAACCGGTTCGTAGATCGTGTTTTTGTCCTCTTACCGGTTTCACAGTCCATCATCATCATCATCTCTGAGCCTCGGGTGAGCTGAGAACACATCGAGACACAAACAAACATTCATTAACAGATCTGACAACAACCATCCATGCCTACAACTCAACTGTTCTATTATCTCACGGAAAAGCTGAATATAGTGACCGAACATTATGTGCCAAAGACAATAAACATCACGGAAATGCTAAAAACAGCTTGTGTAAAGTGAGTGAAAATGTCCGATTTCTTACTTAAACGACTTTATTAAAGTGAATGAAAGAACGCGCCATCACTAAAGAATCCATAGGAAGAATCATCCACGTGATTTGATTTGTTCTTTCGAACCGAAGCTCTAGTGAATCACAGAGCGAAGCTTCAACAACACGACATAATAGATGCAAACTCTATAACCTCACCGGACACACAGATTGAACTAAAGGCTTTTCTTTACAGCTGCGGGTTTCTTTGACTCTTTTATTTGAATGATGATGACACACATTTGTTGTTGAATCAGTTCATAGAAGAAACACACTGTCCGAACGAACCGGTTCGCTAAATGAATTGGTCTTCCCAATGTTTTGGTTTCAGTAAGAGTCAAAATCAATCGATCAGCGATATTATTAGTTACTTTTTCTCCTCATATTTTCGAAACAATCATAGTAATTACTCCATAATTGGGTGGTTTTGTTGATACAGTGTCGTTTTTGTAAAGTTATAACGCGTTAAGTGAGTTTTCCACCCATCAGTGATTCAGTGTTCGTTTATGTATGTCTGTGTTTGACATGATGTGGGAAATTAGTTGCTGATGGTTTATTGTACTATATTGACACTGTAAACAGATCTACGTTAACAAGCATAAAATGCACATTTGTATGACATCACGTGACGTAGTTGTGTATGTTATATATCGTGCGGTGTACTTCCGGTGAGGTTTTGTAACAATGATTGTGCGGTTATGCAATTTTACACATTTCTACAGAAAGACTGTGTGTGTTTGTGTGTGTGTTCACTTCACTGCAGAGCGGATCTCATAATTTACAGTAAGATCAGTTCATTCATATTTATCATGATAAGTGTGTGTGTGTGTCTGTAAAGATGTAAAGATGAACGATTCATAACTTAAACTCTACACTAGTGTTTTAATTTATATAAAACATTTTCCATGAGTTTGTATGATGGTATATAAAAATGTTGTTGTTTTATGTATTGTTTTATAATATGTGTAGTATTTTATATATATATATATATATATATATATATATATGAAGAGTTCAGATGCAAAAGCCTCTAAATGCCATTTGAAATTTTCTTCTAGAATGATCATTTTTATCAAGCTTGTATATTTAAGTTCAGTGATTTCACTTAAATGGCAATGATAATTACCTATTAATTGTTATTTAAGTGAAATTACTGAACTTAAATATACAAGTTTGAAAAAATCATCATTAAAGAAGAAAATTTCAAATGGCATTTAGAGGCTTTTGCTTCTGAATTCTTCATATATACTGTATATATATATGTAGAGAGAGAGAGAGAATTTTAGTTATATATAATTTTACCCCAATATTTTTATTAAAATAATATTCATAAACATGGCAAATAGAGAAATGTACAGTATTGGGTGGTGTGTCTGTGTGTGTGTATTAATATGTGTGTGTGTGTGTCCATCAGGTGCGCATGGCTCAGGTACGATGCTCCGTCGCGGAGGCGCTGTGGGGAGTGTGTGCTGCTGATGCGATGTCGATGCCGGTCCACTGGTTCTACAACACCGCAGACATCAGAACACACTTCAGCGGCTGGATCACGGGCTTCAACGCGCCGCGCAACACACACCCGTCCAGCATCCTCCGCCTGTCCAACACCGGTGTGTAACACTCCCGTTCCCACTCACCTGTGCACTGTAGCGTGTGTGTGACCATGTGTGTGTGTGTGTGCAGCTGGCAGCGGTCGCACTAACGGCTCGTCTGGAGATCCTGTGGTGGGGAACGTGATTCTGCATGATAAGCTGAAGTTCTGGATGGATCCGAGTGGATCGGTGCACTACCATCAAGGTAACAGTCACTGACCCTGCTAGTCTTGAGCCGTCCAATCCAGCGGCTTCAAACGAGTCCGGGGAAACGTTTACAGGAAGATATGTGAAAATATATATATATATACACTTATAATCAAAAGTATTCAACCCCCACTGCAAATTACACCGCTAACACGACACCGCTAACACGACACAGTTAACACGACACCGCTAACACGACACAGTTAACACGACACCGCTAACACAACACAGCTAACACGACACCGCTAACACGACACCGCTAACACGACACAGTTAACACGACACCGCTAACACGACACCGCTAACACGACACAGTTAACACGACACCGCTAACACAACACCGCTAACACGACACAGTTAACACGACACCGCTAACACAACACAGCTAACACGACACCGCTAACACGACACCGCTAACACGACACCGCTAACACGACACGCTAACACGACACCGCTAACACGACACAGTTAACACGACACCGCTAACACGACACAGCTAACACGACACCGCTAACACGACACCGCTAACACGACACAGTTAACACGACACCGCTAACACCACACCGCTAACACGACACAGTTAACACGACACCGCTAACACAACACAGCTAACACGACACCGCTAACACGACACCGCTAACACGACACCGCTAACACGACACAGTTAACACGACACCGCTAACACCACACCGCTAACACCACACCGCTAACACGACACCGCTAACACGACACCGCTAACACCACACCGCTAACACGACACCGCTAACACGACACAGTTAACACGACACCGCTAACACCACACCGCTAACACCACACCGCTAACACCACACCGCTAACACCACACCGCTAACACCACACCGCTAACACGACACAGTTAACACGACACCGCTAACACGACACCGCTAACACGACACCGCTAACACCACACCGCTAACATCACACCGCTAACACCACACAGTTAACACGACACCGCTAACACGACACCGCTAACACGACACAGTTAACACCACACCGCTAACACCACACCGCTAACACCACACCGCTAACACCACACCGCTAACACGACACCGCTAACACGACACCGCTCTACAGAACACAGAAATGACTTCCACATTCTAAAATGTATTCAACGCCCTCACGACAGCTCCGGTCTGCAGATCAGGTGTTTTCTCACTAATCAAGGGCTTCATTAGTTGCAGCAGGTGTGCTAGAGCTCGAACAGCTGTATTTCTGAATCCACGTGCTTATAATGTTAACGTTTCACCGCCGCTGCAGTCGTCCGGCCCGAGAGAAGTGTTTAGTCCGGCTTCTCCCCCGTATAATCCTGATCCTAACGCTAATAACCACACCTCAGACGCGTAAACTAGCGCTCGCTCATCAGCGTGTGATTCCGTCTCTCCTGCAGGACTCCTCGCGGGTCAGAACACCCTGAACGCTCTGTGCGCTCTGAGAGCCGCCCGTGTTCTGTCCGCCGGCTCGTTCCCCAGCGCCGCCGATCCCGCCGCGCGAGCCGCCGTTCTGTCGGATTACGTGGAGTTCCTGACGAGTCCCGGCTCTCACGACGACACGTACGCGGAGTCCTTCCACCGGAGCTTCTTCAGCGACTGGCGGGAGCAGCGGCCCACGGCGCCCCGAGAGGTGAGCACCTGACGCCCGCCGCCGCGCCCGTTACAATGTTGCGTTTTAGAAAAGTAATGCGTTACTTTTGCGCTCGGCAGGTTCTGGAGTTCGCGGAGCGGCGGTCGAGGCGGATGTTGAACTCGTCCCGCAGTGACGGACAGCTGAACGCCATCGGCTGTCTTCCCATCGCCATTCCCTTCGTGCTGATGTCTGCCACAGCCAATGAGGAGCAAGCGGTGAGTCATGTGACACCTTTTTTTCTCACCCTTTCTTTCTCTCCATTCTGTCTCTGATGGAGTTTTGGTTTCTTTAGTCTCCGCTGTTCCTGAATGTGTGTGTGTGTGTGTGTGCAGGTGTGTGCGGCGGTGGAGTTCGTGAAGCTCACTCATCCTCACGCGCAGCTGGAGCCGCTGGTGTCTCTGTACGCTCGTGCGCTTCACGCGACGCTGAACGGAGCCTGTCTGCGGCGGACGGCGGAGGCCGCGCTCAGATCGCCCGCGCTCGACGCCTGGGCCGCGAGTCAGCGCTTCATCCAGCGGGCCGAGAGGTCGGGGAACTGCGGTGTTACAGCGACGGGTCACCCAAACAGGAGAATTAGCCCATGATCTACTCGTGGAACCTACTTATCTTACTTAATAAAGCTTTAAATATGGATATTTCCTTACACAAACGCCTGTATTAACCCCTCGGGGCCTGTGGAGCACTTTGGACTTCAAAACAGAAACGGCAATTCTATAATAATATGTTACATAATAATATACATAATAATATAACTCTTCGTATTCGTCTGAAGAAGAATGTCATGGGCTATTTTAAATTTTTGGGTGAACTATCCCTTTAAGATATGATGGTCTTGGATGTCTGTGATTGGCTCTGATGTGTGTGTGTGTGTGTGTGTGTGTCCGGCAGGTTTCCAGCATCATCAGACGAGCGTCTGAAGGTCCATCAGAGCGCCGTGGAGTCTCTCGGACTCGCCTGCTACACACAAGGTCAGGAAAACCCAGCGCCAGTCCGTCCCCTCCATCTATACAGCGACACACACACACACACACAGTGTTTGAGCTCGAGAACACACACTCTGAAACAGGACCCAAGTGCAAAAACGTGATCATCTCCGTGTAAACTTCAGAAACACTGATCAGCATGCGCATCACGTGTTTAGTCTATAGATGTGTGTGTTTGGATATATATGTGCGCAGGTGTGTGTGTGTGTGTTTTTCTTTACAAAGTGACCTCAACAAATTACTCGCTGACCTTAAATTCATAACACAGAATTATTAATCGCTTCCTCGTATCCATGCGAACCGGAACTATTCTGGCAGTATAATAGAGATTATTTACTTGTGTGAAACAATGCACCAGAACTTCCCATGATGCTCTTCTGATTAAGTGTGTGTGTGTGTGTGTGTGTCGCAGGAGCTCTGACGAGCCTCTTCTATCTGGCGTACTGCTTTCATGATGACGTGACGGAGGGAATCCTGACCAACACCAACTGTGGAGGTGCGTTTCTCCATCTCTAATCTGCTGGTGTGTGTGTGTGTGTGTGTGACGCTCTGTGTGTGTCCGCAGGCGAGAACTGTAACCGCGGCGCAGCGTTAGGAGCTCTCCTCGGCGCGCGGGCGGCGTATCTCGGCTCAGCCGTTCCTCAGACGTGGAAGAACGAGTTACGGGACGCTCCGGAGCAGATCTGTGCTGTCCTGCGGGACCTGGAGACCTGACAACACACACACACACACACACACACACAGGAAGTGCTGCCCACAGATGAGGTTTCCAGCTCGACTTCCCCTCATCTGCGCTTCATGACCTACTTACACACTTCTCACATCAGAGCTGCATCTGTTATATGACGGATGAAATAATAATCAGATTATAGAATTATTATAGAATATATCGCTCTAAACTCTCTCTATTTCTTTTCTAAAGCTGATTTAAACCCGTATACGGCAGTGGAAGTGCGGAGCGGGAAACACTTGTTTGTGGAAATATTATTATGAATGTGTTGAAGATGTAGATTACGCTTCAGTTTAGGGTTCGGTTCTCGTCATTAATAGTTGTGTATTATAAATCACATAACTAGGATTAGGACATCAGCTGTTTATTAGTTCATATAAAGCAGATATTAATGCCTTATTCTGCATGATCATATTCTATAAGCTAAACCGCACTCATTAATGAGCAGACCCTAAACTAAAGTGTGACCAATCTTAGTGTATGAAACATAATACAATGAAACATGCAAATTATGAAACATATGCAAAAACAAGAGAATCAACCAAATATGAATAACTCAGTGTCAGCTTTATGCGTTCTGTGTGCGTAGTGAAATAAAGGCTAGTTTTCTTTTCATCCCCAAATAATTCTGTCAGAAAAACACTATAGATACTCATGAAGCATTAAATTAATTTATTTTATTTAAAATTGAAGGGTTTGTTAAAGCGAAACTGTTATGTTTTCTCGCGACTCTAATGTAGCATTCGCTTGTGATCGTGATTATTAAACGCTCTGCTATGAATGATATTCCGATTCAGATTATTTGCACATTTTGAGAAGCTGAACATGCGTTTGTGTGTTTGAGTTTTTTTAAATTGTAGCACTTTGGGATTTTGCTTAAATATAAAGTGTGTTACAAATAAAATCTATTATTTTGATTTGTTGAGATTGTGCTTATATTTTTGATCAGGTTAAAGCTGACAGCAGTGATGTCTCTATAGAGTGGATCTCTGTGTTACCGCACACACACACACACACACACACACACACTCTGTGGCCTCAGAGACGAGACTTCAGTACCTCATCTCACGCAGAGACCTGATCTAAACTAGAGTTTAAACTCGAGACGGAAACCACAGCGCTTCTTATATAGTGTTAGCTAAATGAAAGTCAGAGGAGCTGTGAAGATATGCTGAAATATGCCATATATGAATCATTATGCAAATGATAAACACTGTCTGAATGTTTAACAACTCATTTAAGTCAAAGGAAACTGTACTGAAAGGGACGAAAATTATCATAATTAAGCTACTCTCCCTCATGTTCCTAAACCTGTATGACTCTGTCTTCTGTGGAACACAAAACAACTTTGGACCCCATTGACTTCCACTGTGTGAAATATATATATACATATATATATATATATATATATATATATATATATATATATATATGAAGAGTTCAGATGCAAAAGCCTCTTTCAAGTGCCATTTGAAATTTTCTTCTAAAATGGTAATTTTTATACAAGCTTGATTTATATGTACACATGTATAAATAAATAAGTAGTACATATATGTTCATGTAGGCTACATAAAATATACGAAAACGGCCAATTTTATATATTTTACTGAATTAATACGGAATACTGTACAACACTTCAAAACAGCGACAGTGCTTCTGTTCGTCTGAGCATCACAGGTAAAGCTGTGTGTGTGTGTGTGTGTGTGTGTGTGTGTTTTACTGTAGATGTTGTTGCTGTCTGTGTGAGAGTGTGTCGGTGGCTCCCCCTGCTGGCCACACACAGGAGCGCTTCAGGCGCAGGAGGATTGCGCAATGATGTCCGCACGCCCACGAGTGTCCAGAGCAGGAGAGGTTCAGAGACTCGGACTTCGACCGGAGGATAAACCATCATGGAGTCCAAGCTGAACATGAAGCTCTTCTACATGATCCTGCCACTGCTCGCCGTCCCAGAATGCTTCGGGCTTCCGTCAGGTGAGCGTGTGTCTGCATCACCTGTGTGTGTGTGTGTCAATATTTATAGATTACAATATATTTATTTATATAGCAATAATAAGTGAGCAGCTTTGCAGTGATAACGGGAAAATAATGCAACAAAGTTTGTTTCTAGAAGAAAATAGCATCACAGTCCAGCTTAAATTCAGTGATGCTTCATTTTTGTTGTAAAAATGAATTTATATATATTATATTATAATATTATATATATATGATGTCATCATCCAGCTCAGTTCAGTTCTCATATAATGGTGTCAATGCAGGAGATTAATATTATCGTTGAATATTAAATTAAATGTCTCCAACTAAGCAAGACAAAAGCCAAAGGCGACAGTGGGAGCGAAACTCCATCAGTGACAGAATGGAGAAATAAACCTTGTGAGAAACCAGACTCAGTCGCCCAGTTCTCCTCTGGTCAACGAACCAGCAGTGTATGATTATGATTCAGGAGCATTACAGGTCAGAGGTCAGAGTCACGCCGGTATGGAGACGAGTCTGTTGAGGATCAGTTCTGATGGCTGTCGTGTCGATGAGGCCTTACAGGGGAGAGTCTAGATCACACAATCTCTGCGGACACTTCAGGGATGTGTTGTGGCCGTGTCTAGGCTCAGGTCCTCCGTCTGATCTGGATACGGGCCGGATCCGGTTGGTTTAGTGCTTCTCATCCATGTTTATTATGTCATCTGCAGTGTTCCTCAGTAAGTCCGAGGCCAGCCGGGCGCTACGGCAGCGTGTCCGACGGGCGAACTCGTTCCTGGAGGAGCTGAAGCTAGGAGATCTGGAGCGGGAGTGTCTGGAGGAGGTGTGCTCGCATGAGGAGGCCCGAGAGATCTTCAGCGTCCCAGAACAACTGGTGAGGAAAACTAACACTAACCCGTTGAGCAGAAGAGCTGATGGAGATCTGACTGACTCTCCTGTTGTGTTTCAGGAGGATTTCTGGAGGAGATACACAGGTGAACCAGAGCGTACATGCTGCACACACACATCTGAGAAAGCCATACACTATATTTCATCAGTTACATGCTAAAGTTTTCAAAAGTGTTAAATACTTTTTTATAAATGTTGCACATAAAATTTAAAAAGGTTAGAAAATAACTCATAGAACAACACGTATATCTCCATAGCAACGATCTGACAACCACTCATAACTCTATAGCAATGACCTGACAACCACTCAGACCTCCATAGCAACGATCTGACAACCACTCAGACCTCCATAGCAACAATCTGACAACCACTCAGACCTCCATAGCAACGATCTGACAACCACTCAGACCTTCATAGCAACAATCTGACAACCACTCAGACCTTCATAGCAACGATCTGACAACCACTCAGACCTTCATAGCAACGATCTGACAACCACTCAGACCTCCTTAGCAACGATCTGACAACCACTCAGACCTCCATAGCAACGATCTGACAACCACTCAGACCTTCATAGCAACGATCTGACAACCACTCAGACCTCCATAGCAACGATCTGACAACCACTCAGACCTCCATAGCAACAATCTGACAACCACTCAGACCTTCATAGCAACGATCTGACAACCACTCAGACCTTCATAGCAACAATCTGACAACCACTCAGACCTCCATAGCAACAATCTGACAACCACTCAGACCTTCATAGCAACGATCTGACAACCACTCAGACCTCCATAGCAACGATCTGACAACCACTCAGACCTCCATAGCAACGATCTGACAACCACTCAGACCTCCATAGCAACGATCTGACAACCACTCAGACCTCCATAGCAACGATCTGACAACCACTCAGACCTCCATAGCAACGATCTGACAACCACTCAGACCTCCATAGCAACGATCTGACAACCACTCAGACCTTCATAGCAACGACCTGACAACCACTCAGAACTCCATAGCAACGACCTGACAACCACTCAGATCTCCATAGCAATGACCATAGCAACGACCTGACAACCACTCAGAACTCCATAGCAACGACCTGACAACCACTCAGACCTCCATAGCAACAATCTGACAACCACTCAGACCTCCATAGCAACGATCTGACAACCACTCAGACCTCCATAGCAACGATCTGACAACCACTCAGACCTCCATAGCAACGATCTGACAACCACTCAGACCTCCATAGCAACGATCTGACAACCACTCAGACCTCCATAGCAACGATCTGACAACCACTCAGACCTCCATAGCAACGATCTGACAACCACTCAGACCTTCATAGCAACGATCTGACAACCACTCAGAACTCCATAGCAACGATCTGACAACCACTCAGACCTCCATAGCAACGATCTGACAACCACTCAGACCTTCATAGCAACGATCTGACAACCACTCAGACCTTCATAGCAACGATCTGACAACCACTCAGACCTCCATAGCAACGATCTGACAACCACTCAGACCTTCATAGCAACGATCTGACAACCACTCAGAACTCCATAGCAACAATCTGACAACCACTCAGACCTCAATAGCAACGATCTGACAACCACTCAGACCTTCATAGCAACGATCTGACAACCACTCAGACCTCCATAGCAACGATCTGACAACCACTCAGACCTCCATAGCAACGATCTGACAACCACTCAGACCTTCATAGCAACGATCTGACAACCACTCAGAACTCCATAGCAACGATCTGACAACCACTCAGACCTCCATAGCAACGATCTGACAACCACTCAGACCTTCATAGCAACGATCTGACAACCACTCAGACCTTCATAGCAACGATCTGACAACCACTCAGACCTCCATAGCAACGATCTGACAACCACTCAGACCTCCATAGCAACGATCTGACAACCACTCAGACCTCCATAGCAACGATCTGACAACCACTCAGACCTCCATAGCAACGATCTGACAACCACTCAGACCTCCATAGCAACAATCTGACAACCACTCAGAACTCCATAGCAACGACCTGGCAACCTCTCAGTATGTTCTGATCCTGTGAGTGTGTTGTTTGGGTCTTCAGAGGTGGACTTCTGTCAGTCGGCACCGTGTCAGAACGGGGCCACATGTGTGGATCAGAAGAACACATACGTCTGCATCTGCCCGGTAAACTTCGAGGGGCGACACTGTAACAAAGGTGACACACACACACACACACATCAGCAGCGTCACAGAACTAAGCATCTACTCATGTTTGAATCCTGTAGTCCGTTCCACAGAAATACTCCCAGCGAGTTCCTACGGGTGTTTGTACAGGAACGGCGGCTGCGATCACTTCTGTGTGGAGGTCACCGACTCGACCCATCGCTGCGACTGCGCTCCTGGATACACACTGCACACGGACAACAGCAGCTGCGTGCCACAGGGTGCGTCTCACACACACACACACACACACACACTGCACACGCAGGAGTGTGTGAACCCATCTAATCTTTCCATTAACCACGGGAACGTATAGCCTCGCTCCGGCATCCGCTGTTCTGGCGTCCCTTCCCCTCCTCAGCTCCCCCGCTCCACCTCCACCTCCACCTCCCCCTGCCCAACTCCACCTCCCCCGCTCCACCTCCACCTCCACCTCCCCCTGCCCAACTCCACCTCCACCTCCCCCTGCCCAACTCCACCTCCCCCGCTCCACCTCCACCTCCACCTGCCCAACTCCACCTCCCCCGCTCCACCTCCACCTCCACCTCCACCTGCCCAACTCCACCTCCCCCGCTCCACCTCCACCTTTCCCAGCCCCCCCAGCGCCCCCCTCCCCAATAACTCATGTTGTGTTTCTCAGATGGTTTCCCATGTGGCCGTCTGGTGGAGAAGGGTGTGGGTCCCAGGATCGTGAAGGGGGACGTGTGCCCGAAAGGACAGTGTCCGTGGCAGGTGAGCGTTCATGACGGAGTCACATCATATCCATGATCAGAAAATCTGTCTCTGTACTCTCTTGAAAAGAAAGAACCTCAAAGAACCTTTCCGTAGAGAACCGCTATATCTGCATGTTCTCCACAGGCTTCACTAAAGCTTTCTGGGATGTTTAAATGCGGTGGAGTTATTCTCGATACCCAGTGGATTCTCACGGCGGCTCATTGTGTCTGGAATAAGGACCCAACCATCCTAGAAGTGACCGTTGGTAAGTTCCCCAGTCACGAGCTTCCATCATCGTGGGGTTTGTCAGGTGTAGCTCCAATTCGGCTGCGTTTACATCATGTCAAAATCACTGCAACTCGTTCTTAGCATTTGGAAATTCTGAGTTTTAAAAGCTCCATCTTCTCACACTTCAATCTACAATCAAAACAATCAAAGCTTCCAGTTTCGCTCCTCTTTTCTTCAGTGTCGGGGAAAGGTACTTTTAAAAGTAATGCATTCCAATATTGCATTACTCCCAAAAAAAGTTACTTATTGAGTTACGTTACATTTGCGTTACAACAAAAAAAAGTTTTTTGGCAAATGTTAAGGCCCTTGCACACAAAAAGTGAAACAGTTTCCCCAACACTGCTTTTCTTCCTGGTTGTGACGGGCTATAAACCCGAGCGAAACGGCTTCTAGAACAAGAACTGTAGGGCAGGCTTTGATTGTGTCCAGAAGATCATAAATTGGCGCTTTTCCACTGCATAGTACAGTACGGTTCGGCTCAGTACGGTTCGACTCTGCGCGGAACAGTTCGGCTCGCTTCGCGTTTCCACTGCGTGGTACGTTTTGAGTCGGTACGGATCGGTTCGGTTCGCTTAGCTCGGTTGCGTTTCCACTGCAGTAGTACCCCTTCAAAGTGTGTGGGACTGATCGTTATCTGCGTGCGCCTCTACTGCCATGACATCATCTTAAAAGCGCCACATTTTCAAACCCACAACACAGGAACAATGGAGACTATCGAGGGGATGGTGTTCCTGATTCTCGGTATGTGGTTGTTTTTAACTGCTAGACGGAAAAATGTGTTTAAAATGAGGCTGATGGCAGCAAAACAAAATACTGCTAAAAAAATGTCTCGTGTCTCGTGTCGCAAATCCAATGATGCTAGTAGTGATGCTGGTAGTGACGATTCTGTCTGACCAATCAGTGATCTGCAGTGTTTCACGTCACATTTTAGTACCGGTACGGTACGCTTGGAACCTCAACAGACCAGGTACCATTTAAAGCGACCTGAAGCGAACCGTACTGTACCGTACCATGCAGTGGAAAAGCACCACAAGTGAGCCGTACCGAACCGTACCGTACTATGCAGTGGAAAAGCGCCAAATGCGAGGAGTTCTGTTACTGTTGATGTTACTCCTCTCAGATCTCGTCTCTCGGTGTTATTCTGTCTCCTGTAGGCGAACACATCCTTGATAAAGACGAGGGAACCGAACAGACGAGGAAAGTGTCCAAAGTGTTGGTGCACCCGTGGTATAACCACTCCAACGCTGACAGTGACATCGCTCTGCTACGTCTCGCCAGCCCCGTCACGCTCGACCGCTACGCCGTGCCGATCTGCCTTCCTCCCGCTAACGGCACGTTCGTCCGCACGCTAGCGTCGGTGAGCTTGTCGACGGTGAGCGGTTGGGGTCGCCTGACCCAGTCCGGCCCGGTGTCGGTGGTTCTGCAGCGGCTCCAGGTGCCCCGGGTCTCGCTGGACGAGTGTCGGGCTCGGTCCGGCCTGAAGGTGAGCAGGAATATGCTGTGCGCCGGGTTCCTCGAGGGCGGCCGGGACTCGTGTCAGGGCGACAGCGGCGGCCCGCTAGTCACACGCTACCGCAACACGTGGTTTCTGACCGGGATCGTGAGCTGGGGGAAAGGCTGCGCCAGCGCCGGCGTGTACGGCATCTACACGCGCGTGTCCATCTTCGTGGAGTGGATTGTGAACACTGTGGCCAGCGGATGAATGTACAAGAGTTTCTGAATGTTATTCTTCCCTCGCACTTCTTTCTTATTTTTTTTTTATTTACCTTTAAATTACTTGATTTGATCATTAAATAATAAATAAATAGTAATTTGAGCACATTCAACTTAAATTCAAAGTAACTCACAATTTCATGCATAACCCTTTTAATTCAACTCAAAATTTCTTACATTGCGTGTCTTTGCCAACCTCTTGTGAACAATAAATAAATAAATAAAACCTGACATAATACAAGAGTTTCTGAATGTTATTTAAGGGGAAGTGTGTCTTGAGGTTTCAAGTCGAGTCTCCTTCATTTATACAGCGCTTTAACAATATCGCAGCAGCTTCGTAAGTAAGGATTTTCTAGAGATTGTTTGGCTTTACTTTATGCCGTACTCCGAGTTAAATTGGTCATTTTGGACAGACTTCCTGAAGAGTTACACTGGTCGAGACTTACAATGATTAGCACCATAAAGGAAACATTGGTACCAGATAATTGAGTTACTATTGCAGTTTTAAAAAATGACACACTTCCCCTTTAAGAACACATGCAAGTGAGAATATATACAGTAACAAACACGGGCAGAACATGTTTGAAATTTGTATTATGTATCAAAAATAAAAATAAAATTTTTTCAAATGTTGTCCTTCGTCTTGTATCTGTGTGTGTGTGAGTGTGTGAGTGAGCGAGTGTTGTTGTCAGAGTATTTAGACTTCAGACCTTTGACCCTCCAGCAGAAGAACCGAAGCGCTGGTCGACATGCGTCTCCTGTCCGGCTTTCTGGTCCTCTGGAGTCTTTGCTGCTGTCATTCGGCCACAGGTGAGGTCATTCAACAGCTAAACAACCAGGTGCATAGTGTTAGTACTGAGAGTGTTGTCAGTCCAGTCTTGTGTGTGTGTGTCCAGTGTTCACGGGGCGGGACGGGGCTCATGAGGTTCTGACCCGGAGCAGGCGAGCGAACTCGGGCTGGTTCGAGGAGATGAAGGTGGGGAATCTGGAGAGGGAGTGTCTGGAGGAGAAGTGCTCGTACGAGGAGGCGAGGGAGGTGTTCGAACACACCGAGGCCACGGTCAGGATTACACCACACACACACACACACACACACTCACTAGACTGACAGCACTGCTCTTGGTGCCTGTGTAACTTAATCTTAAACTGCTTTTCCAAACCTGAAGGATTGTAGTTGTATATTTTATTAGTGTAAAGCCACGAGTGTTTCTGAAGTGGCATTTAGGTGTGTTACCTACAACCCTCATCCTTCCCTCGGGGTCTAACACGCACTTGAACCACGAATACACACAGAAAAAAATGTATTTAATGGATTCGAGGAGTTAGTGGTTGAAATTTAAAAAAAGTACCAATCCTTCTCTCTTGGGTCAATCTGACCCCCTTAGGAATGAGTCGAATGCGAGGAATGCTTCAGTTCACATAGACAAACCTACAAATGATCAACCTAAAATTGCTAAAACTATACCAATAAATAATGTGTACGCGTGTGTGAGTGCACACTGAAGCAAAACGGGCTTTAGGACCCAGCGGAACAGAGGCTCAATTAAAAGAGCATGAAATTGTAAGTTATTTTGAATCTAATCTAAGAATCTGAGGAATGTGCTTTATTTATTATTTATTGATCAAATCTAGTAGTTTAAAGGTAAATAAAATAAAAAAAATAACAAAAAAATGCATTTAAAAATAAAACACATATTATCAAAATGAAATAAAATAAACTTTCTGGACAAACAATAAAATGAAGTATAGCTTTATGTCTCGGGTCATGTTGACCCGCGGGGACAGGCTAACGAGTACTCTGATAGTGTCCGTACAGGCCTCATGTATTGTGGCATTGCGTTTTGAAATATGAGTAAAGATGCCGTAACACTATCTAATAACCACTGTCTCCACACAGAATGAGTTCTGGAAGATCTACGATGGTGAGTTTTAAAGATATGTGACCTTTTGCTAAATTACATTTTCTGCGTTATTAAGATGACTCTTTATGTTGGTCTGCAGTTAAAGATCACTGCGCGTCGAACCCGTGTGAGAACAACGGGCTGTGCACGAGTCCGAACGCCGACTCCTTCACGTGTCTGTGCGCGCCGGGCTTCAGCGGACGCGCCTGCGAGCGCGGTGAGAACCCGAGGGGAACAACCTCTCTGTGTTTCTGTCCTGTTTTCCAGCACAAATATCTAAACGTTCTTAAATCAAGACACACAGAATGACTGAAGATATAAAGTGAGTTTTTGTTTAAAACAAGAACAAATATCTGCTATGGGGTCAGAACAATAAACTTAAAGGGAAAACAAGATTATTTGTGACTCCAGTGGCAGATATTTGCTCTTGTATAAGCAGAAACACATCAGTTTGATACATATCAACCATCAATCTCATCAATCTCAATCTTATCAACCATATCTACTGTAATGTACGAGGGATTTGTGCTTCGAAAAGTGTCTTAAACAGGAGATTTTGGGAATCAAGTGTATTTGACATCCGCAAAGATTAAAAACGTCCTTGAGGTTATTAAGCTAACTCCTGATTCTCTTTGACCCCGCAGAGATTCGAGGCGTGCCCGACTCCTGTCTGCATGAGAACGGGCGCTGCGAGCACTTCTGCGTGGAGGAGGACGGCCAGCGAAACTGCTCCTGTGCCGATGGGTATTTCTTAGGGTCAGACGGTCAGAGCTGCCCGACACATGGTGAGAATATCACACAACTCAACAATCAAGACAAGCCCTACATTAGTTCATGTTCCAGCTTCCCTTTCATGCAAACACTGTACAGACAAGCTTAAAGAGATAGTTCACCCAAAAATTAGCCCATGATTTACTCTCCCCATAGTCATCCTAGGTGTATATGACATTCTTCCTTCAGATGAATACAGTTAGTTATATTAAAAAATGTCCTGGCACTTCCAAGCTTTACGATGGACAGATTAACTTTTACAATGGATAGATGCACTTTTATGATGGATAGATGAACTTTTATGATGGATAGATGAACTTTTATGATGATAGATGTACTTCTATGATGGATACATGCACTTTTATGATGGACAGATGCACTTTTATGATGGATAGATGCACTTTTATGATGGATAGATGCACTTTTATGATGGATAGATTCACTTTTATGATGGATAGATTCACTTTTATGATGGATAGATGAACTTTTGTGATGATAGATGTACTTCTATGATGGATACATGCACTTTTATGATGGACAGATGCACTTTTATGATGATAGATGCACTTTTATGATGGATAGATGAACTTTTATGATGATAGATGTACTTCTGATGGATACATGCACTTTTATGATGGACAGATGCACTTTTATGATGGATAGATGAACTTTTATGATGATAGATGCACTTTTATGATGGATAGATGCACTTTTATGATGGACAGATGCACTTTTATGATGGATAGATGCACTTTTATGATGGACAGATGCACTTTTATGATGGACAGATGCACTTTTATGATGGATAGATGCACTTTTATGATGGACAGATGCACTTTTATGATGGACAGATGCACTTTTATGATGGATAGATGCACTTTTATGATGGACAGATGCACTTTTATGATGGACAGATGCACTTTTATGATGGATAGATGAACTTTTATGATGATAGATGCACTTTTATGATGGATAGATGCACTTTTATGATGGATAGATGCACTTTTATGATGGACAGATGCACTTTTATGATGGACAGATGCACTTTTATGATGGATAGATGCACTTTTATGATGGATAGATGAACTTTTATGATGGACAGATGCACTTTTATCATGTATAGATGCACTTTTATGATGGATAGCTGCACTTTTATGATGGATAGATGCACTTTTATGATGGATAGATGAACTTTTATGATGATAGATGCACTTTTATGATGGACAGATGCACTTTTATGATGGATAGATGCACTTTTATGATGGATAGATGAACTTTTATGATGGACAGATGCACTTTTATCATGTATAGATGCACTTTTATGATGGATAGCTGCACTTTTATGATGGATAGATGCACTTTTATGATGGATAGATGAACTTTTATGATAGATAGATGCACTTTTATGATGGATAGATGAACTTTTATGATGGATAGATGCACTTTTATGATGATAGCTGCACTTTTATGATGGACAGATGCACTTTTATGCTTCAAAAACAGAGACGGCCATTCACTGCCATTATAAAGCTTGGAAGAGCCAGGACATTGTTTAATATAACTCTGATTGTATTCGTCTGAAAGAAGAATGCCATACACCAAAGATGACTTGAGGGAGTCTAACTCATTTAAAATGTATTAGTTTAGAATTAAACCATTATAAATGTCCGTATCTTACAGAGGCGTTTCCGTGTGGGAAGGTTCCTCTTCTTTGGAGAGGAGGTTCTGGTACGAACTCTCAGGCGGATCTGAGGTCTCGAATCGTTGGTGGAGCGGAATGTCCTAAAGGTCACTGTCCGTGGCAGGTACCGAGGTCACCGTCAGAACACACGTGTTGATGAGTCATTACCGTCAAACACCTGTGTGTGTGTGTGTGTGTGTGGACAGGTGCTGTTGAAGTACGGCGAGAAGGGCTTCTGTGGAGGTGTGATCTATAAACCCACCTGGATCCTCACAGCCGCACACTGCTTAGAGAAACTCAAAGTCAAGTTTCTCAAGATAGTCGCAGGTACACTGAAGAACTGATGACAGAATTCTTCTATTTTAATAACTGAAAAGAGCCTCAAAGAGACTTATTTTACATCTTGCATTGTAGGACCCCTTTAAGATTGTTAATGACTAATAATTGTTGTTCTGTGGCGCTGTGACTCAGGTGAGCACGACATCGAGGTGGACGAAGGCACAGAACAGGTGATCGAGGTGGAGGAGATGCTAATGCACCCCGGCTACGTGCCGGAGACCGCAGACAGTGACATCGCCCTGCTGCGTCTGCGCAGACCCATCGTCTACGGCACGTACGCCGTGCCCGTGTGCCTGCCGGTGCGCGACATGGCGGAGCGTGTGCTGTGGGCCGTTAGCAAGCACACGGTGAGCGGGTGGGGCAAACGCAGCGAGGACGGACCCACCTCACGTTTACTGCGCCGACTCCAGGTGCCGCGCATTCGCACGCAGGAGTGTGTGGAGAGCAGCCAACTCTCGCTCACTGATAACATGTTCTGCGCCGGTTACATCGAGGGAAAGCAGGACTCGTGTAAAGGCGACAGCGGCGGCCCGCTAGTGACCCGCTACAGAAACACCACGTTCCTGCTGGGAATCGTGAGCTGGGGGAAAGGCTGCGCTCGACCGGGATCCTACGGCATCTACACGCGCGTCTCCAACTACCTGCAGTGGATCCACGAACAAACGGCGAACTCTACTCAAGTGGAGCGTTAAAGGGATAGTTCATCCAAAAATTGTAATTAGCCTTTAATTTACTCTTCCTCAAGCTATCATTGGTGTATATGACCTGACGTATTCGGATGTATTCTTCTTTCAGACGAATACAATCAGTTATATAAAAAAATGTCTTGACTCTTCCAAGCTTTATAATGGCAGTGAATGGCCGGAGAAAATTTGAAGACCATTAAAGTGCATCCATCCATGATAAAAGTGGTAGTGATAATAAAAGCAATTCTACTCAAGTGAAGCGCTAAAGCTTCTGAATCTGAGCACTGCTATATTTATGTCTGATTATGTCTAATTTCTTCATTGTTTGACATTTTTATCCTCTCATTGCTTTGGCCTTCATGACCTCATTCACAAATAAACAATTCAGTAGAATTAAATGTATCTGTTTATTTGGTATTTTGTGTATAAAATGTTCAGTTGTTCCAATGGGAATCCACAGAATTGTATCTCGTTGTTGTGAGTATATATTAATTCACCATAAACTTTGTGTCGTTGTTCTAGGGCGACGGTGCAGAATTAAAAAACGTTTATCGAGTACAATCGTGGCTCATTAGGACAAGAACTCTGATTAACATGGAAAAGCTGTGTTTTATTGCGTTGTCTGGTTAGGACAGAGTGTAAGGTAATATGTAGTAATTAAATTAGCTTTCTCACACATTATATGTTTAGTATTGTTTCAAAATACTCTTTTAAGGTCAGCATGAAGTTGTTCTCTATTGTGTCGTATCGAGTGAATCGCTTCAATCAGGACGGAAATGGAAACATGTAGGCGGGGCTTGTAGTTTGATCTCATGTGAGTGACAGGTTAAAGCCCCACTCTTGTCATCAGAGAAGAGAAGAGATGCTGCAAGAGGAACTGATTCCGATTCAAGATTACCAGGAACATGAATAAAACACGATAATAATGATGTGCACCGATAAATCATTTAGAATAATGCTGCAGTATTCCATAATCCATGGTGACTTTAAAACGAACGCCTGGTCCAATAATGAGTTTGATTCGTCATTATCAGTGTGTCTGAGTGAATCTCACACACACACAAGCCCTTTGCTCCCGGTCGATCGGCTAATTTCAGTCTCAGCATCGGGATTCTGAGGAAACTTTGCCCACGCGTGTGTCCGGAGGTGAACATGATGAACACTTGTGCTGTTCTGTTGCTGTGTGTCCTGATATTTCACGGATCCATCGGTGGTAAGAATTGCGAGAGACACGAACTAAAATAACTCTCCCGTAACCAAATCAAAGAAGTGACTCGCGGGCGCAGTGTTCAAAATCGGGAGTGTTCGTGTCGCTCGTTTATCGATAACAACATAGACCCCCTGTTAATTAACTTGCGTTTCAAACTAATTCTGTTCCACCTGTGTTTCCAGTCTTTCTTGACAAAGATGGCGCCAGTTCTGTGTTGCAGCGCGTGAGGCGCGCGAACTCTTTCCTTGAGGAGATGAAGCGCGGCAATCTCGAGCGCGAGTGCGTCGAAGAAATCTGCGATTACGAGGAGGCGCGCGAGGTGTTCGAGGACGACACAAAGACGGTATACTCACTCAGATATTATTTAATATCATCACTCATCTGACAGATTATTTTAATTTAATAACTTAACGCGTATTCGTTTTGTTTTTCTTTTTCAGAAACAGTTTTGGTTGAGTTACTCTGGTGAGTACGGGCAAAATAAACGTGACCGCTGCCCACAAAATACAAACAGGAAACAACATAGTCACCTCAAAAACTGTAGTCAATTATTAGTATAAATACGTGCTTTTCATTGAGAGAATCTTTTTGACATTTTACTTATTATTAGTAGCCTACAGTTGTGACCACACTGACCATAGTATAATAAAATAACTGATTCATGGTCATTATATGGACTGCTAATCTAAAGAACAAACAAACACAGTACCAAGTCAAAGGTTCTGTTTGTTTAAAATGTGTTTGTTAATATGGAAGCTTGTTCAGGCCACAGTATATTTGAAAAGATAATTGTGACTTTTTATCTCATAATTGTAAGTTTAAATCTCTGACTTTATTTTTCAGAATTGCATGTTTATATCTCACAAATCTGACTTTATAGCACGCAATTGCGAGATATAAAGTAAGAATTGCGAGTTATAAAGTCAGAATTGTGTATTATAAAGTTGCAAATTGCGACTTTTAGACTAATTCTTCTGAGGGTAAAAAAGACAGTCAGAATTGCATGTTTATATTTCACAATTGTGACTATAACACACAATTCTGACTTTATATCTCCCAAATGCATGTTATAAAGTCAGAATTGTGGGATATAAACTTCTTTTTTACCCTTAGAATTAGACTTTATAACTCCCAAATGCAACTTTTTATTACGCAATTCTGAATTTATAGCATGCAAAATTATGACTTTATTTCTCACAATTGCGACTTTATATCACGCAATTCTGAGAAAAAATGTCAGAACTGTGAGATAAAAAGTCGCAATTACATTTTTTATTCTGTGGTGGAAACAAACTTCTGTGTTTCAGCTCAGTTCAAGATGCATTGAATTCCCACCCAAAATACAGATGTATTCCTTACTATAAACCAACAACAGAGACTCCTTGATGCATATTCCATTGTTTTTAACATATGCTTGATTTATACATGTAATCATCTACCTAAGCTAAGGAGCCATGCTTGACCAATCCGTGCAAGAACAACGGCACGTGTGTTTATCTGGCGAGCACCTACTACTGCCTGTGTTCGGAGGGGTTCGAGGGAAAATACTGTGAGAAAGGTAGGTGAAAGTGAATGGTATCCAGCAGTGTGTCCTTCGGCAAGCTCACAGATGTGTTCCACGGGCAGGGTTCGAGGAGACGCTGAGGTGTCTTCACGTGAACGGAGGCTGTGAGCAGTTCTGTGAGGCTTCGGGTCCCGGGCGCTCGTGTCGCTGTGCCACAGGATACACACTGGGGGCTGATGGGACGTCTTGTGTTGCTCACGGTGGGAAGAATACATAAATAAAGACCTATAAACTTCAAATCTCAAAGGACACAAAGCTTATAAAACTTTCAAACTCCAAACTGAACTTATTTAAAGTGCCCCTATAATTTAGTCAATTCAAATTAAGTTTCATTTTTTTCTACATTTTATTTCTATTCATTTATTTCTACATTTATTTTCCTTTTATCTCTGTATTTTTACAGAGATAACAGGAAAATAATGCAACAAAGTTTGTTTCTAGAAGAGAATAGCGTCTCAGTCCAGCTTAAGTCAGTTCAGTGATGGATGAATGTGTATATATATATATGAAGAGTTCAGATGCAAAAGCCTCTAAATGCCGTTTGAAATTTTCTTCTAAAATGACCATTTTTATCAAGCTTGTATATTTAAGTTCAGTGATTTGACTTAAATGACAATTAATAGACAATTAATCTTCATTGCCATTTAAGTGAAATTACTGAACTTAAATATACAAACTTGATAAAAATTATAATTTTAGAAGAAAATTTCAAATGGCACTTAGAGGCTTTTGCATCTGAACTCTTCATATATAGCCGCTCTGGAGAAAACCGTGATGTCATCATCCAGTTCAGTTCTGACCTCATATAATGCTGTCCATGCAGGAGATCTATAATATTGTTGAATATTAAAATAAATGTCTCCGACAAAAAGCTGTTTTTGAAAGTATGAGTCGTCAGTAATTCAGTCTCACTTCCTGATGATTTGTAACTAATTTGCATGATAGCAGCCTGTGGTGTTGATTGGCTGAGCAGCGTCGCTTAGCTCCGCCCTCAAACACTGTAGTGTATCTGAGACCGGAAGAGTTCGGCTCGTGTTGTTCGTGTTTTCTGAGATCGATACGGTGAAACCCACTGTTCGTATCACTGTGATCAAGAGCTGAGATTCAGCGTTCTGACCAATCACAGCAGAGCAGCTCTCAGAGAGGCGGGGCTTAGAGAGACCGAATCCTCGATCGAGGCGTTTCAGACGCTGAGAGAAAGAGCTGAAAAAACACTGGGAACCTTTAAAATAATAGGGGCACTTTAACTTTCAGGTACTTTTCAACATTCAATGTTTCTCTTGCCAAACCTTTTCTATTTAATCTGTGATTTGTTTCAGTTGAATATCCATGTGGAAAGATCCCGCTTCAGACGACAGACAAACAGCTCGCGGGGGGGATTCACTGTCCGAGAGGCCACTGTCCTTGGCAGGTAACAGTAAACGTGCTCGTCACGCGTCACAAGAAGAAAGTGATCCGATGACGAGTGTGTTCTCCGTCCCCAGGCGCTGATCGATTATAACGCAGAGAGTGTGTGTGGAGGAGCTCTTCTGGACGGCGGCTGGGTCGTGACAGCGGCTCACTGCGTTCATCAGAAGGACCTGAAGCGCTTGAAGGTTATCACAGGTGTGCACTCATGATCAAGTCACGTTTATTTCTACAGATTTTATACAGTACAGGAGTGTGTTACCCATAACTTCTGTTGGTTGCAATTTGCGACCTCACCACTAGATGCCACTACACTCTACACACTGCATCTTTAAATCACAGAATACCCACTGAAGAGATGTACGCCTCGCTTTCATTCCCGATAGAAATCAAATGCTGTGAATAACGTCCAGTGTCATTCTTCAGCTCAGGTCGAGTCTTGTTGACAGCAGTTGTTGTCCTCAGGTGATCATGACCTGGATGTGATGGACGGCCCAGAGGAGGCGTATGATGTCTCTGCTGTGGTTATCCACGAGAGTTACGACCCCGTGTCACTGGATGGTGACCTGGCCCTCCTGAAGCTTCATGAAGAGCTCAAGCGCTCGGCGTACGCCGTGCCCGTATGCTTGCCCACGCCACAGCTAGCACAGGAGGAGCTCGTAGCCGTACGCTTCCACACGCTCAGCGGATGGAGCAAGCGAACCGCCGGACACAACACGCACCCGGCGCGAGGCCTGAGCGCCCCGTCGTCTGGCGTTCTACAGCGGCTCAGCGTCCCGCTACTGCCCACAGATCAGTGTGAGTCCAGCAGCCGCGTCAACGTCACTGCTAACATGTTCTGCGCGGGCTACGTCGCGGGCGAACACGAGTCCTGCCGAGGACATGACGGAAGTCCGCTAGTCACGCGCTACGGGGGAACCTCCTTCCTCACGGGCGTCGTGTCGTGGGGGCGAGGCTGCCATCGGCCGGGGTACTACGGCATTTACACCAAAGTGGCCAACTTCTTAAAATGGATTGAAATGGTTGTGAAAACTCCCGTTGAGGGGTTGAATAATACAGCAGGGTCTCCTCTTGTCTTTACCCGAGGTTAAAGGTTTCGCCACTGAAGAAGCACTTCCGGTTCCCCAAAGACCCTTTCAGGGATCAGTTCTTGACTCAGTAAAGGGAGAGATGAAATTAGCCCATGATTTACTCGCCCTCAAGCCATCCAGGGTGTATATGACAAGAGTCAAGAATTAAAAAATGTCCTTTATAATGCCTGTGTATGGCCGGTTTCTGTTTCGAAGTCCATCCAAGTTTATCTGTCCATCATAAATCCATTTCGATGATAAAAGTGCATCTATTGGTTGTAATTCATGGATGCTTTGGAATACAGACAGATTATTGCAGAAGGGAAAGCAATAAAGTACAGAATAATTTGGACTATTGGTATTTGAACAACTAATATGGATTGCTGGAGAATCAAACCAAGTTGAGTTCCATATTTAAAGTTGATATCGTCCACAGAACCTCTCATTGCACAAAAGGTCCTCTAAATTATTAAAATGTTAAAATAATAAAAAAAGGTTCTTTAAAGAACTGATCACTGAAGGATCTTTGGGGAACCCAAATTTGAAACCTTTAAGGAACCATCGATTCAAAAAAGAAACTGTATTTTGAGATGAGCTTTGAAATAAAACAGTGATTCTGAGCCTTGCGTGTGTGTGTGTGTGTGTGTGTGTGTGCTTCTGTCATCCGTGTGTTTGAGGGATGGTTGGACGGTCGTTAACTGGAACTGCATTGATTTTCTAGCGCAGACGTTGCTCTGGTCTAATCATACACCAGACGTGACCCCGTGCGAGGCCGGACCTCTTCTCTCTGTGCATTTTGTGTACATTATATTAGTCTAATAAAACAAAGATAAAGTTCACATATTTCTGTTAACGGCTCAACTTCATCTCTGCGAACTTCTTCATAAAACACTGAAAGTCACCAGCTTTTTTAAGATTATCAAACAATTGACTGAGGATGTTGTTCTCTTGATTTATCACCACAGAACCGCTGGAGAAAAGCATCTGCTAATGTAAGCTAAATATGAATCACTAGTCGTGTTTCCATTATCCTTGGAAACACGTGAAAAGCTCCCATATAACGCAAAAAGGTTTTCGCGCTCGCATGAACTCGTAAAAGACAAAAGAATTATAGGAATACTGGATTCTAAACCACTAAGAAATCCCACAGTCAAGATCTTGAAGCAGATTTGAGGGAGAAACTCCTCATACGAGCCGCTCTTACCCTTAATGTTGTATGACACGCCTACGACTCCTAACGCTAGTGCGGCGGCTGAGATATACGTGACTTTCGTTGCCATGATGTTTGTAAGGATTCATCATGAGAGGGAAAAAAAACCACATTTCAGTCGAATAACATCGTTTAATGGAAACGGCGTCATTTCACAATCGTTTTTTTATCGACAAAAAATAGTTTCGCGCAAATCTACTGACATTATTGAGACATGCTGTCTCGGTCGGCATGACAGTGGCGTTACACTGGTCGTTTCTTCTCTATTGTGTCGCTTCGGGAACGAGAACACATGTGGGCGGGGCTTGATTGTGTCTTGGATGGTTGTGGTTTGCTATTGGCTGATCTCATGTGAGTGACAGGTTAAAGCCCCGCCCACATCATCAGAGAAGTAACTGATCCTGATTCAAGATGATGACTAAAGCACCCATAAATCATTTCGAATGAACACTATGATATGCATCTTCTGATTTGTTACTGTAAGAGTAATTCCCTGATGATCGTCCGCTTCTCCAACTCTCTCTCCGCTCTGAACTGAAAGCTCACACACGTCGAGTTCCTCCGCCCCGTTCCTCTCTCTCCCTCCCAGCGCTCGGTTCATTGACCTCCTCTCTGCTTTCTGAGCGATCCTGTCCCGTGAAGAGCTCAACGCTGACCATGTCTTGGGTCTTCTGGACCTGTGTGTTCTCGACTCTAATGCACGGCTTGTGCTCGGAAGGTGAGTACCGCCTCGAATCCAGCAAACTGGAGCTTCAGAACCGCTGATTTCTCGGTTCCTGCTGTTCTTTAAGGCCCAGTCAGTGTCAGAGGGATTTTATCTGTGCTTTGGTTTGTTTCACAACACTCCTCTGCTATCAGTCCGTGGAGGAGGGAGGCTTCGTGTTGATAAAGATGAAGTCATGTGTTTTCTCAGTCTTCCTTCCCACTCGAGATGCTAGTCAGATCCTGAGCCGGCGCCGGCGCGCTAACTCCCTGTTCGAGGAGATGAAGAAGGGGAACATGGAGCGCGAGTGTGTGGAGGAGCGCTGCAGCTACGAGGAGGCCAGAGAAATCTTCGAGGATGTTCAAAAGACGGTCTGTTTGTTTGTTCAAGTCATTCCTTTATTTTTCATTGGAGTCTTTCAAGAAATCATATTTCCCACTTCTAGGCCCAAAATACGCTGACACTGATAGACACTATTCACGCCATTTACATTCACCGTGTGCCACTTAAAATAATGAAATATTTGAATATATTAATATGAATATCCCAGCCAATAAAAAGATGTTATAGGAACATTTTGATCACTGTAAACCCTAACACTCAAAATAATGAACTGGTTTGAGTTGGGCCAACTTAAATTATACAATTTCAACAAATTAACTTTTATGAGTATTTAGAACTTTCTTTTTGTTTCGAGTTCACAAAACGATACATTTTAAGTAAGTTGAATTGTTTCATTGTTTTGAGTTCTATGAACTTGTTTCTTTTCATTTAGACAAACTTAAATTTAAAGTTGAAACTAGGCTTGGATTTCTATTTACAAGGCATGCGTTGCCATGACACTTATGTGTTGTATAATGCTTTTTTGTGCCAGATTAATGCTAACTGTGGAGATGAAGAAGTGTTTAATGTTTTCATGGTGATGAGAGGAGCATGAGTGCTAATGCTATCAAAGCATTGCGTCACCAATTAGCGAGGTAGCTTTTTTTTAATTAGCTGGTTAAAGCTAGCAACTTTTCCACTACTAAAAATATTTAAATTGAGATTACATGAAAATTAAGTTGTGTATAAATTAGCGTACTCAAATATTTCAAGTTAAGAGCAATTAAAAAGTATGATTACAAAATAAAAATCTACAAGTTCTGCTTACTTAAACTAGTAAATTAAAAATTATGTAACTGATTACCTCAAATTATTTGAGTTTTGCCAGCTTATTCGGGTTTACAGTGTTCCCATTAAGTAATTAAAGTGTTTTTCCTAAAAGTTTCATTGTATCATTCTTCAAACATTATGGGAACGTTACTTTTGAACGTTCTGAAATGTAGCAACAGTTAAAAAAAACATTAATTTGAGAACATTATTAAAAATTAAAATACACTATTTTCAAACACATTTTAAAAAGAGCACAAGGACTGTAAAGACACGCCAATGAAAACCCACTACATGCATTAGATGAACGTTGATCTCTCTAATGTTGTTCTTCTCTTCTCTCTCAGGATAAGTTCTGGCACGTCTATTACGGTGAGTGGCTTGGCGATCCCGCGCTAGTTTGCTTTGAATGGTGAAGCGAGTCTTGATCCCAGCGGTTGTGTTTCCACAGATGGAGACGCGTGTCTGTCTCAGCCGTGTTTCAACGGTGGCGAGTGTAAAGATGCGATCGGGCCGTACACGTGTTTCTGCCAACAAGGGTTTAAGGGCTACAACTGTGAGATCGGTAAAGCGCCTCTCGACGTTCAGTGATCGCGAGTTGACCTCTGACCTCTCAGCTGACCTCTGTGTTTCTCTGCAGCGATTCCTGCGCTCTGCGAGACTGAGAACGGAGGCTGTGATCACTTCTGCCGGGTGAAGGAGAAGACTGCCGTTTGTTCGTGTGCCAAAGGCTACGAGCTGGGCGATAACGGGAAGTCCTGCCACTCTAATGGTAAATGATGGTCTGATGTGAGCGAGACGGTTATCTCCAAGTTTCATCCCTCCCTCGGGTCATTTTGACCTGGATTTGTTGTGAAGAGAGACGGGCTTGAGGAACAGCTCCTCTGCTCCATATAGAGATATAAGCCCATCTAGAGGCATGAAATATCATCTGTTATTATTATATTCCACAAGAGCTCACAGACTCCCGATGGAAGATATTTAGAGCTCAATTAAAAGAGTTACGCATGAAATTGTGATTTATTTTGAATTTAAGTTGAAAGAATGTGCTTAAATTACTATTTATTTATTGGTCAAATATAGTACTTTAAAGGTTTGTTAACAAGTAGGCTTGGGGTGATGTTGCCCCGTGAGGGAGGGATGTGTTCCAGGACGTGAGGGTTAAATAACCCTTTGGTTTCAGATCCTTTCAAATGCGGCGTCGTTCATCCCCAGAAGACCAGGAGCATCTTCATGCTAACGCCCAACATCTCCAACACTGAGAACGGAGAGGACACGGAAGTCGAGCCCACCGTCCAGTCCGCCGTGAACGCCACAAACCCGCCGCCGGCTAACGAGACGAGCTTATTCGGCCTGGACGAGCGGGACATCGTAGAGGAGGAGCCGCTTCTGCCCCAATCCGCCGGAGGACACACGAGAATCGTCAACGGCGTGGAGTGTCCTCCTGGGGAGTGTCCGTGGCAGGTACACACACACACACACACACTCTTCTTGTGCATGACCAGGGTTTGAAATAACACTTTATTTTGATGGTCCCCTTTAAACATTCTGTTGACCATAAGTAACTTTGCAACTACACGTCTGACCCTACCCGTCTGTAATGAGAGTAATAGTCATGAAGGTGCAGCGAGCAGAAGAAGGTTAAACCTTAACTATTTCACTCACCGGCCAACGTTTGGCTTCTACATTTTTAAGTTACCAGCCTTTCAGAACTTCTACTAGGCAAAAAGAAGAAATAAACCAGATTATACAGATTAGCTACATCACAGCTAGTCCCCAAAGGCAAGGATCGGCACTTTATTATGTTTTTTAATCTCCGCTATTGCTTTAAAGCAAATGAACAAGAGTGCCGTTATTTGTTGTGTAGTGTTCAGACGCTGTATTTAACACAGTTTACGCTCGCATTTGCGAGTTGGCGGGTGTTCATTTCAAACCCTGCGCATGTTACTGTACTTGAGCTTTTGGAGACATCTTTGGTCAGTTATTGTTGACGTGGGACGTTCTCTCAGGCTCTTCTCATTAATGAGAACAACATCGGCTTCTGCGGCGGCACCATCTTGAACCAGCACTTCATTCTGTCGGCCGCTCACTGCATGAACGAGTCGCTCTCCACCAGGGTGGTTTTAGGTACGGCATCTCTTACACTTCTTAAACTTATAAAACATATTTTCATGCACTAAAATAGCAGAATGAATTAACAGCAGTATTGTTTTCTGTATTGTTTCTCCCTTTTAAACTTAAAATAAATGTTCTTTATGTATATTAACGCTCCCATTTAGAAAATAAAGGTTGCAAAAAGTGGGTTTTCGTGACCATTTTTGGTTCCCCAAAGAGATCAGTTCTTAAAGGCCCACTGAAGTGTCTCAGGATTCGCAGCTTTGTTTGATGCGTTTATGTAATTTCCACTGAAACAGGAAGCTAAGGTGGGACATATTAAATGGCTCCTCCCCCTTTTCAAACAGCCAATAGCGTTTAGTTTAGCTCTCAGACTGACAGCAGCATGGAACCCAGACATTGAATCAACGTGGAAACGACGTCTCTCATGACATCGAAACAACGTTGATCTGACATTGTTTTGCTCATCAAATTAACGTTGAACCAACGTCGGACGCGGCATTCTTCAAAGCTAAATGAAAATCGAAAATTGGTTTGCTTTCATAACGTTGAAACAACGTTGATTTCCGTTAGTTTTGAAAGAATGACGCGTCTGACGTTGTTTCAATGTTAATTCGATGAGCAACGTTGTTTCGATGTCGTGTTTCCAAGTTGATTCAATGTCAGTTTGCTATCTGGGAAGCGGATCCGAGCGCTGATGATACGCTGGTTTCAACAGTAGATGTGAATAAATTCAAGCCATTTCATTCCTAACCAGCGGATTATTGGAAAACGCATTCAAAGCATCAAATAAACACGAATGAACATCAGAAGGAATGTTGTTTGAACTGTGGAAAGATGTCAGTACACATCCAATTCAAATCCACCGACGTTAATCTGTTACGTTAACCTGACTGCGTTGTCAGACAAAAATGTCGGATTAAGATTGGTCAGATTGCCTGTCAATCAAACTCCCTGCGAAGGGTACACCCATTTACACGTTTGCATTTTGCCAGACGCTTTTATCTAAAAAGCACGCATTTACATTCGATCAGTTCTTTTCATTAGCGTTTGTGTCTTTCCGTCAGGTGAGTTTGACACGCTGGTCAAAGAGGGTCGTGAGGTCATCCACGACGTAGACGAAATTCTGATCCACAAGAACTTCATGGCGAATACCTACCACAACGACATCGCCCTCATTAAGCTCAGCAAGCCCATCACGTTCACCGACTACATCATCCCCGCATGCCTCCCGGAGCACGACTTCGCGGAGCGCGTGCTAATGGCCCAGGAGAGCGGCATGGTTAGCGGCTTCGGTCGCGTGCGCGAGGGCGGGTTTCAGTCCACCGTCCTCCAGAAGCTAACGGTGCCGTACGTCAACCGCGCCACGTGCATCGAGTCCAGCCAGTTCCGGATCTCCAGCCGCATGTTCTGCGCCGGATACGACCAGGAGGAGAAAGACGCGTGTCAGGGCGATAGCGGCGGCCCGCATGTGACGCGCTACAAGAACACGTGGTACGTGACGGGCGTGGTGAGCTGGGGCGAGGGATGCGCACGCAAGGGCAAGTACGGCGTCTACACGCAGGTTTCCAAGTACATCCAGTGGATCAACAACGCCATGGCTAAAGTCATGCCACAGATGGGAGCTTCGCTGAAGCCCAAAGCAAAGCGAGAGCTGCTTCGGAAGACGCCTGTTCGAAGAGTCTGACGCGAATCTATCCGAGGCGACGTCAATCAACGACACGGTCTTAATTCATGCTAACGGCAACGTATTCTAAGAATGATTTGCTAACGTTCCTATATAGTTATTAAAACGTTATTTCTGAATGTTCCCTGAAAATGTCAGGCTTTTTTTAGCCATGCAAATGTTAAGAGTAGATCACTTTAAAATGAAAAATCCATCATAAAAGTGCATCTGTCCATGATGAAGTGCTCCCCAGGCTCCGGGGGGTTAATAAAGGCCTTCTGAAGTGAAAGAAGAATGGATGACTTCAGGGCGAGTCAATCATGGGCTAATTGTACTTTTAAAAGAACAAATTCCATTTGATGATTTTGGAAACATTATTAGAGTTACTTTTGAATGTAACATTTAAAAAACTTTCAATGAACGATTGTTTTTATGCGAATGTTTTGAGAACATCATTAAAGAGCACAAACGTTCTGTTACTGGAAGAACGATGTTCATAATCTTGCCAATGCAGTTTTATGTTGACTCTTATCCAAATGAGATTTACAGTTTTAATAAAGACAACACAGTTGATTTTATAAGCTGTTTCTGTCATATTCTTATCGTATAAAGTTTCCCGACAAGACTTAAACTTGGCAGCCGTACTCGTTTCCTTTGGGCATGAGCTGTTTTTGACTTTAACTACTTCCCAAAAGTTGATAACTTTTTTTATTGAATAAATTCAAATACATTGGACAAATCAATTGTATAAAAACAGAACATTAACATCAGTGAATGTGGAGGCTCTGGAGGCGTTGACAAACACACAGATGAAGAGTTCAGAGGTCATGTTGACAGACTAGAGTCCAGACACACACACACGTTGAGTACACACAAACAAGCATCGCAAGTTCGCCTTTTACCAAACGACAACACATCAACGATTGAGTTATTCACGGTGAGCTGGAACGTCAATATCGCTTCATTTTATGTTAATGCTTCACGTATCCCGAGGAAGAGCTTGGTGGATAGTTATTGGGCGTATTGATTGTGGGCGGAGCTACAGACGGGCTGATCCGTGACTGACAGGTGTCAGGAGCTTCTGCTGATTGATCGTGATGGAATCCCTGATATGTCGTGTGCTGTTCTTCACACTGATCGTTCATCATGTGTTGTCGGAGGATCATCGCACGGGTGAGAGAACAATCATAAGTCCAGCTAACCTTTAGCTAGTAATGTTCATAATACGTTACGAAAAGCTATCAAACGTTCAGGTTTGATAAACTTTTTTTGCTGCTTATGCAAAGATTAAGGGAACTTTCCATTTGATCCTTTGTCAAACATTTTGAGAATTTTACTTTCGAATGTACTGAAACAAGTAGTAGCCTAACATTTAAAAACGTTAAACAAACATTTCAGTAAAACACGTGCCAAGAACAAAGTATAAGTTCTTGAAGTTACGAACAAACGCTCTTCCAGTAAAGTTAACAAAACGGTTGTTCAGAGTTATCTGGTCTTTAGCGTTCTGAAAATGTGGGCACTTTATTTATCGTTCTTCGTAAACGTGTAAGTTGGACGTTCATCAACGTTTTTTAAATGTTACTACTTGTTTCAAAACATTCAAAAGTAACTGTTCTTGGATCATATCTGGGGTGCGTTTCCCCAAGCCATCAATGGAGACTGCGATCATAGTTGCCCAGCGATGCTTGACGGAAACGCGGCCCTTGCTAGCATGGATGGTGTTGGAGCGAGGTCATGATCATTTGAGCGTGTTTTCCAGTGTTTCGGTCTCACCGGCGGGCGCACACGCTGCTCCTGCGCTCCAGACGGGCTAATGTGTTCCTGCTGGAGGAGATCCTGCCGGGGAACCTGGAGCGCGAGTGTCTCGAGGAGAAGTGCAGTAAAGAAGAAGCCCGGGAATACTTTGAGGACGACCAGAAGACAGTACGACAGCTCATGATCAGCACACACCATAACCGCGTTTCCATTTCCTGGCTTTAACTCACTTCTGCATTCTGTGAAACAGGTCGCATCGCTTCCAGTCCAGGTCTTTTGTATGTGCTTCATGAAATTTTTTTGCGGTTTTACTCAAGATAACTTAAAGGAGTAGTTCACTTTTGAAAAAACTTTTGCTGATAATTTACTCACCCCCATGTCATCCAAGATGTCCATGTCTTTCTTTCTTCAGTCGAAAAGAAATTAAGGTTTTTGATGAAAACATTCCAGGATTTTTCTCCATATAATGGACTTCAATGGGGACCAAACGGTTCAAGGTCCAAAAGACAGTTTCAGTGCAAACTGTTCAAATGTCTTTAAACGACACCGGACGATGAATAAGGGTCTTATCAAGCGAAACGATCGATTATTTCAAAACTTATTCCAAAAATGTAACTTTTCTAAGGACAAATGCTAGCCTTGCTCTATTCTGTGAGGCGCGTTTGCAACGTCACGTAATACGTAATTACGTTCAAAAGGTCACGGGCGACGTAGCCAGAAGTACAGAGTCAGAGTGTTTACAAGTTGAACGCATAGGTTGAACGTGCAAACTAACTCAAACGCCGTTTACAAAAAAGGAATTAAATAGTAAAACAACGATGTCGGACGATTTTGATTCTGTACTTCCGGCTACGTCGCCCGTGACCTTTTGAACGTAATTGCGCATTACGTGACGTTACAAACGCGCCTCACAGAATAGAGCAAGGCTAGCATTTGTCCTTAGAAAAGTTACATTTTTGGAATAAGTTTTGAAATAACCGATCGTTTCGCTTGATAAGACCCTTATTCATCGTCTGGTGTCGTTTAAAGACATTTGAAGCTGCATCTGAAACTGTTATTAACTGTCTTTTGGACCTTGAACCGTTTGGTCCCCATTGAAGTCCATTATATGGAGAAAATCCTGGAATGTTTTTATCAAAAACCTTAATTTCTTTTCGACTGAAGAAAGAAAGACATGGACATCTTGGATGACACGGGGGTGAGTAAATTATCAGCAAAAGTTTTTTCAAAAGTGAACTAATCCTTTAAAAGGAGCGAGCAAAGATTAGCATAACCAACCCAGATAGCAAACTGACATTGAATCAACGTGGAAATATGACATCGAAACAACGTTGATCTGACATTGTTTTGCTCATCGAATTAACGTTGAACCAACGTCAGACGCGTCATTCTTTCAAAACTAACAGAAAATCAACTTGAAATCAACGCGTTGTTTCAACGTTATGAAAGCAAACCAATTTTCGATTTCATTTAGCTTTGAAGAATGCCGCGTCTGACGTTGGTTCAACGTTAATTCGATGAGCAAATCAACGTTGTTTCAATGTCATGAGAGACGTCGTTTCCACGTTGATTCAATGTCAGTTTGCTATCTGGGAATGTCCCTCACATGTGCAGATTGATATTTAAACGTTTTATATTTTTTCTTCTTCACAGTGACGTTTAGATATATTTTAAATGGAATAAAACGCCAATAACACAGTGAACTAGGTAGGTTAGCTGATTACCTTAAATATCCATAGATATCGTAGTCCGGTCTTTCAGCCGTTAACACTTTCTCTGACAAGCGGATGCGATGAGACCTGTTTTCCGGTTTGGTCACGTGACGCTCGACATAAAGCCTATTGAAATTGCAAAATGAAAATACGCCCACTTCGGAAAAACACTCAAATATCGCAAAAAAAGTTTATACGCTCGCATGAGGTTTGAAAAAGGAATATTTCGCAAAGCTGCAATGGAAACAGTTTTTCTGCATTTACAGGTCACATGGTCTATGTAACATTCGATCGTTCTTTAAAGATGGCGCAGTATGTTTGGACAGAAAACGAGACAGTTCTTCATTAAACTCATTAAAGACAAATAAATTATGGGAACACTGGATTCTATACAACAAAGAAATGCCACAGTCTTTCCTTGCCTTTAAAGCTGAACACGCCTACGACTCCTTCACTTAATAATAATAGCTAGCGGTGGCTGAGATATACGTGACTACTAATAGTGTGAGGAAAAAATAACCTTTTAGTCGCATAAAATATCGGTTGATGGAAACGTCATTTCACAATAGTTTTTTTATTGACATTTAGAAAATCTCGCAAAAGTTTTGTTCAAATCTGCAATGGAAACGCGGCTACTTGTTGACTTTTTTGTTGGGGTGCTAATAAAATAATAGTGTAGATAATGAACACAGACTAAACATGTGATTTCTGTGTTTAGATAGCACAGCTTCTAAAAAAATTGCTAGGGTTAAACGCATACATAGCAATTTTATTTAATTACCTCTTAAAACTATACATTTACAAGGTCACACTGTAAAGTGTGAACAGCACATAGAAGTTAGACTTATTTTATTTTATCAAATGAACCTTACTATCAGCTATTTGAATCAACGGTTTATTTAGGCGTGCTGACCGTCAAAATGTAAAATAGTTCCTGTGTTTTAAAAGTCAAACATTTCAAAAAACGCGGCGGCGCGTGAACCTGAAACGGCAGACGAGGCGAAGTCTGTTCAACGCGTGATGTGTAGCCTACGTAACAATAAACAACACAATTTCTTTACTCCCATCACCACTAGTGCGAATAAAAAGCAATAATTCTATTATTTGAGGTAATATGAAAATAATTCATATTTAAAATAGTTCATAATTTCGCGCTCTTTTGCTTCAGCGCGGCCTAGATTGACTCCTCCCATCAGACATAAGAAAATAAATGCTTTCATCGAAATTATGACATACAATTCATAATGACATTAAAATTTCGTAATGGTAATTTTCCGTCATAAATTCCACCTTTCATGTCAAAATTATGACTTAGTACGTCATAATTATGTTTTTATTTATTTATTTATTTTTTAAAAGTAATTTAACTTAATGCTGCTGAAACAATTTCACTCATTAGAGCTATTTTTATTTCCCTGTAAAGAATGACTTCTGGACCAAATACTATGGTAAGTGACCTTTAGAAACTTTAATCATACTTGAATTAAATGAATGACTATTATATAATCGATCATATACACTGCCTGCCTGGTACAACAACAACAAAAAGTCACTGTTCTTATTTAAATAAATTTCTATTGTTTTCAAAATATGTTTCAAAGCAGCTTTTCAGACATAAACAGGAAAATAATACAACAAAGTTTGTTTCAAAGAAAATCGTCACAGTCGCTAATTAATTAAGTTCCGTGATGGTTCATTTTGTTGTTAAAAAGTTATTTATTTAGTTCACTGGGGAAAGCCATGATGTCATCGCGGTACTGCAATAATTATCCAGTTATAGACTCTTAACCATTTGCCGTAACCAAACAGTGACTTTTGTGCCAGAGCAGTGTATCTACACTATTTATCATTGTTCAATTCTTTACTTTTACACAGTATTGTGTTGTTCTCTTTAACTGATCTCCATTTGAGCTTCATATTTTCCTGCCGTTCTCGTTCTCAGACGGGGATCAGTGCAGCTCGGGTCCGTGTAAACACAGCGGAGTGTGTAAGGACGGGATCGGCGGCTACACCTGCACCTGCTCCGACATGTACATCGGCGCCGACTGTCAAACCGGTGAACGAGATCATTTACACGAGTGAACAGGGGCTTTCGCACCGGAGGAACCTCTCATGGGTCCTAGAACTAATGGCGGAAGCCGTGTTCGCACCGCAGGGACTAGCAACGATTTCAGTTGTAGGAACTCCTTTAGAGGAGCTAATTTAGTCGGCCTAAACCAGTGACGCTAGTGTTCACAGACCGGCCGAACGCACGTGAAACACCAGAGCCCGCCATTTTTAAGAAGGCTGTGTACACACACAGATTATAGCCTATATATTTACTCCAGAAACGAACTCTACGAACATGTAAAACAGTTATAGATGAGCCTCTTAGACAACCCAACAACTTGGGTTGGACCGAGAGAAACATGATGATGTATTTCTGCTCAGCAACTCTGGACATCAACACACGACACACGCTAACAACTCTTCATCTCTGTCTGCTTTCTATGTATAACAGCTCTAGCGTATAAGACAGATCGTAAACTAGTGAGCAGTTCAGCTCGGTTTGTTCAGTCGTCAAAATAAGAGTCTCAACAACAAGCGTGTCTCACGTAGGGTTGGGTATCGAGAATCGAGTATCGATTGGAACCGGGACTAACTTTTTGTTTTTCCCGGAATCGTTCAAAAGTTAAAATTTCGATTCCTAGTTTCGATATTCACAGTCCGCCGAGCGGAAGAAGAAACCGCTGAACAACACCAACGAAGAAGCGTCTACCGGAAGTGTTGGCATAACCACGCGAGTCGAACATGAGTACCTTACGTCGGCGATCCAAAGTGTGGCTTCACTTTTCTAAAAATAACGAAAACTCGGCAAAATGCAAAATTTGTGACAAAAGGAGTATTTTTACAGAAGGAGAATTTCCTTCAGAAAGGCCGTTGGTTAGCAAGGTTAGCTAAACTTTTTTGACCCTGCCTCTTAAAAGAATCGAAATCGAGAATCGTTAGGAACCGGAATCGAAACAAAGAATCAGAATCGGAATCAGAATCGTTCAAATTCAAACGATACCCAACCCTAATCTCACGTCACTTCAGAGCGCTGCGAACGCAACCAGGAGTCCTCGGGAACCGTCCGGAGGCTCGATCCTAGAACTACCCGCTGCGAAAGCCCCTAAAGTGATGCTAGTGAACGTGATGGACACATTCAGTGTGTCAGACGCTTGATGATGATGTTTCGAATGGTTTGATTGATTGAATGATCTGTAAACGACCAAACCGAATAAATGAAATGAAAAAAAAAAATGAAATGTTCTGCAGATAAGTCCCAGTGTCCGTCTGCCGGGCCGCTAGCATGCGAGCACTTCTGCAGACCCGCGCCGGGCGCGTATCGATGCTTCTGCGCGCGCGGATTCAAGCTTCACAGCAACGGCAGGAGCTGCACGCCGAACGGTACCACTGTCTTCTCATTGGCTGCGTTGCTGTAGCTCATTTGCATAGTGTGGAACACGTGACACTGACCTCCTCCATGTTCTCAGTTCAGAACCCGTGTGGGACGACGGAGACGTCCAGCTTCTGTCCTGATGGACGCTGCCCGTGGGAGGTGAGAATCCACCGGTTACCCAGCATCCCTAGCGCAGGACACCACACTCAGCCAATCAGAAGAGTACTTGATGACGATGATGATGATGTGTGCAGGTGCGGTTCGTGAACGGCAGCGGTGATGTCATCTGTCACGGGGTGGTGTTGGGTCGTCGGTCGGTGCTGACGTCAGCCGGGTGTATGTCAGCGCTGCCGGAGCGCCACGTCTCTCTCGGTGAGCACTAACCCACCGTTACATAAAAACATCACAATTGTGACTTTAAAGGTGACATATTACGCCCCTTTTCAGTATAAATCTATGGTGTCCCCAGAATGTGTGTGAACTATCAGCTCAAAATACCAGATCGTCAAATTTGCCTCTTTTTGGGCGTGAGCAAAAACGCACCATTTGTGTGTGTCCCTTTAAATGCAAATGAGTTTTAGCTTCGCCTTCACATGAGCTTCAGAGACTCCGGCAATAATACCACCGGCCGATCTGACTGATCCAGGATCAGGAGTAACAGCAGCTTTAGCTCCGCCTTACGGAGAGACTCGGGGAGAGCTTCACTTTTACACATTTCTGAATGTTAGCGAAGACGTTTGTGTAGTTGTTGTGGAGTTCCACTGATCATCATCATGTTGAACAAGTGTCCACAGTTCCTGAGACAGTGTTTATAAGACAGCGGTGATGGATAGATGCACTTTTATGATGATAGATGCACTTTTATGATGGATAGATGCACTTTTATGATGATAGATGCACTTTTATGATGGATAGATACACTTTTATGATGATAGATGCACTTTTATGATGGATAGATGCACTTTTATGATGGATAGATACACTTTTATGATGATAGATGCACTTTTATGATGGACAGATACACTTTTATGATGATAGATGCACTTTTATGATGGATAGATACACTTTTATGATGATAGATGCACTTTTATGATGGATAGATACACTTTTATGATGATAGATGCACTTTTATGATGGATAGATACACTTTTATGATGGACAGATGCACTTTTATGATGATAGATGCACTTTTATGATGGATAGATGCACTTTTATGATGGACAGATGCACTTTTATGATGGACAGATGCACTTTTATGATGATAGATGCACTTTTATGATGGACAGATACACTTTTATGATGATAGATGCACTTTTATGATGGATAGATACACTTTTATGATGATAGATGCACTTTTATGATGGACAGATACACTTTTATGATGATAGATGCACTTTTATGATGGATAGATACACTTTTATGATGGACAGATGCACTTTTATGATGATAGATGCACTTTTATGATGGATAGATGCACTTTTATGATGGACAGATGCACTTTTATGATGGACAGATGCACTTTTATGATGATAGATGCACTTTTATGATGGATAGATACACTTTTATGATGATAGATGCACTTTTATGATGGATAGATGCACTTTTATGATGATAGATGCACTTTTATGATGGATAGATACACTTTTATGATGATAGATGCACTTTTATGATGGATAGATACACTTTTATGATGATAGATGCACTTTTATGATGGATAGATACACTTTTATGATGATAGATGCACTTTTATGATGGATAGATACACTTTTATGATGATAGATGCACTTTTATGATGGATAGATACACTTTTATGATGATAGATGCACTTTTATGATGGATAGATACACTTTTATGATGATAGATGCACTTTTATGATGGATAGATGCACTTTTATGATGATAGATGCACTTTTATGATGGATAGATACACTTTTATGATGGACAGATGCACTTTTATGATGAACAGATGCACTTTTATGATGGATAGATGCACTTTTATGATGGACAGATGCACTTTTATGATGGACAGATGCCCTTTTATGATGATAGATGCACTTTTATGATGGACAGATGCACTTTTATGATGATAGATGCACTTTTATGATGACAGATGCACTTTTATGATGGATAGATACACTTTTATGATGGATAGATACACTTTTATGATGATAGATGCACTTTTATGATGGATAGATGCACTTTTATGATGATAGATGCACTTTTATGATGTATAGATACACTTTTATGCTGATAGATGCACTTTTATGATGGACAGATGCACTTTTATGATGGACAGATGCACTTTTATGATGATAGATGCACTTTTATGCTGGATAGATGCACTTTTATGATGATAGATTCACTTTTATGATGGATAGATACACTTTTATGATGATAGATGCACTTTTATGATGATAGATGCACTTTTATGATGGATAGATACACTTTTATGCTGATAGATGCACTTTTATGATGGACAGATGCACTTTTATGATGGATAGATACACTTTTATGATGATAGATGCACTTTTATGATGGTTAGATACACTTTTATGATGGATGACTTGAGAGAGTGAGTAAATCATGGGCTAATTTTCATTGGTACTGTCCCTTTAAGTGCCGTGCTCTTGTCTCGCAGCGGTCGGGGACTCGAGCTCAGTGCTGGCTGTCTCCAGCTGGACGCCTCACAAGCATTACTCGTCCGGGCCGGAGAACGATCTGGCGTTCCTGGAGCTGAAGGATCCACTTCCAGAACACATGTCCATCGTCCCGCTCTGCCTGCCAGAGAAAGACTACAGCGAGAACATCCTGATGAGGGCAGGCCGAGGGGGCGCGGTCATGGGCGGAGCCAGACACACCTACCTCTCATTGGACGACTGTCAGGAGGCTCTCAACCTCACGTTCTTAATGACCAACAAGATGTTCTGCGTGGAGCGTCAGGAGTCTGGAGGCCAGCGGAGGGAGTGTGAGGGGAAGGCCGGGAGTCCCTTGGCGACGGTGGAGGGGAAGACGGCGTTCCTGACGGGACTCTCTCTCCCGGTCGGAGGCTGCGATAGAGGCCTCGTGTTCACCAAACTCTCCCGGTACTTGCACTGGCTCCGGCCGCTGCTGCACGCATCCGAGAAAGAACAGTGATGATGAAACCGGTAACCTGAGCAGTGTTGTGTGTAACTTGTTACAAGTTACTTAATCAGATTACTTTTTTGGGTAACACTTTATTTTAGTGTACTTGTTACATATGTTACGTGTACTTGCTTATGTTATGCAACTAACCCTCAACCTAATCCTAATCCCACCCGCATTGACTAATCTCACTCGCACAAAAAAGATTCAGTATTCAGTATAACGTCAGTGAAATGCAAAATCAGAAACCTAAGCAAACCTCCAGTAATTAATGTTAAATAAAACAAATATTGTAATGCATTTAATCTCTTTATTGACCCATGCACTCCATGACCCATGATTCAGTAAAGCATAAGCAGAAATGGCTTCAGATATTGAGTGTGTATGGTGGTGTTGAGCGCTCGTCTCCTGTGTATTCCTCAGTTCTGCAGAACAGCTGAAAGGTTTGTAATTTAAAAAGTAATTAAGTAACGCAATTAGTAACTTTTTGAGGGAGTAACGCAATGTTGTAATGATTTACTTTCGGGCGCCGTCATCTTTAGAATATTGTCTTTGAACTTCCGGTTCTGTATATTTATAGCATCGCTGTCGAAGAGTAATTAGCTGGTGACGTGGATTTACTTATTGTAGAGTTAACAGAAGTTATCATAAACATTGTAAAGTTCATTCATATCTATTCAAGATCGCTGGAAATACAGACCGGAAGTCAAAAGACAACGAGGGCAACGCTGAAAAGGGGCGGGGCTACAGTCACCTCAACGTCTGATCTGCGTAACGTCAAATTATAGAAATATGGATTTGAAAATTATATTTACAGCTAGTCTGTTTTATGAGTCACTGGTAGTTTGATTCAGTTGATCTGCATGTTTGAGTCACATATCAACCTCTGCTCTGACTCAACCAATCACGTGGTGTTAGGGGCGGGGCTATCTGGCTGACTGACCAATGACGGACAGCTGTTTTTGCAATTCAGTTTTTAATGGTGCAGAGATTCATCACATCACCTTTGATTAAGTATTCATACATCATCATAGTTTTTGTTTTCAGTGATTTGGACAAAATATCGTGTTACCGTCATGAGAATCACTACTGAGCATGAGAAAAACAAATACGTTTCAAATGAAAATACAATATTAGTATTTCTGTGTTACTTGTGACTAACTGGTCTCACAGTAAACCCTACACCAATGTTCCCAGTATAGATGCTTGAGTCGTGAGAAATCAGGGTTCAATATATTTGAAAATGTCACAATAAAAAAAATAAGTACAAAACAGTGTGACGTTTATTTGACGATCAATAACAAAAACAAAGTCAAACACAGAATGAGTGACACTGAGGATGATGCATTCTGGGAGCTGCGTTCAGGACACACTGGACAGAGGAGGAAATGGGTTCTGCTTGCTGACGACCAGCTTCTGGTGCTGATGGGAAATATAACCCTTGATGTGTCCCTGAAACACACACACACACACTGTTAACAGCCTGAGATCAAAGACTAGAACTAAACATTTTCCTCTATTTGGATGGTTTGTCAGCAGGAAGTGATGCGTCTCACCATGTAAATGAGGTTGGCCAGAATGCACTGCACTTCATCGATGTCCACGTCCTCCACCTTCATCATCCTCAGAGAAACCAGGAACGCATCCAGAGGAAGCTGATGAGTCCTCAGTAGATGATACCTGCACACACACTCACTCAGATAAGTGTGTATGTTTTGGTGATTTATGAGGACAGAAGTGTGTATAATGTCACGGGCACTACACTGGTATGACGAGTGTGTGATTTATGGGGACATTTCCTGAGTCCTCATATTTCAGATGGCTTTAAAAACATGTTTTTACATTTAAAAATGACAAAATGCTTAAAGTTTTGTGATGGGTAGGTTTAGGGGTCGGGTGAGTGTGTGTGTGTGTGTGTGTGTGTTGTTCACTCACACTTTCTTGAAGAGGTTCCTGTATGTGATGATCTTCAGCTTCTCGAGGATGAGGAAGATCCCGCAGCGGATGAAGAATGTCTCGTGTTTCACCAGCGCTTCATTGAGCAGCAACAGGTTCCCCTCTCTGACACACACACACACACACACACACACAAGCAGAAGATGAGGATCGACAGCAGTGTGTGTGTGTGTGTGTGTGTGTGTGTGTGTGTGCGTGTGTTACCTCACAGCCTTGGTGACGTCAGCGAACTGCATGAGGTCGTACTTCTTCAACAGCTGATGCGAGGGCATGTGACCCTAACACACACACACACAAGCGGTGAACATCCTGTCCTGGACTCCATTTAACTAATGGTTCAATTAAATGTAAATCATAAAATGTGCATAATTTTACATAAAATGAACATAACTTATTGAAAGCTTTACAAAGATTTAATTTTAGATCCATATGAAATATTTAATATATTCAGTCTGCAGCCCCGCTCTTGATCCAGAGATTATCTGCCCAATTCAGTGAGATCCTGCGTTATACAGTAAACTGTGTGTGTGTGTGTGTGTGTGTGTGTGTGTGTGTGTCCCGGTGATGTCGTACCAGCAGCATCTTGACGGGCAGAAGGTAAATCAGGATCAGCCTCTTGTTCCTCTGACAGGAGCGATGGCAGTGTGTGAAGGAGAAGGACAGACACTCCTCAGCTGGACATACACACACACACACACACACTGAGCTCCACACATCAACAGCAGTGCTCTGACACAATCACGCTCACTCACTCACTCTCTCACTCACTCACTCCCTCGCTCTCTCACTCGCTCACTCACACACTCACACACTCACTCACTCCCTCACTCTCTCACTCGCTCACTCACTCTCTCACTCGCTCACTCACTCACTCCCTCACTCTCTCACTCGCTCGCTCACTCTCTCACTCGCTCGCTCACTCACTCACTCACTCTCTCACTCGCTCACTCACACACTCACACACTCACTCACTCCCTCACTCTCTCACTCGCTCGCTCACTCTCTCACTCGCTCACTCACTCACTCACCTGGTTTGAAGTCGCTGTCGAACATGGCCTTCCTGCCCACGTAGTATCTGTAAGTGACGCGCTGGGCGGTGCTGTACTCGTCCTTCATGCTGGAGCTCTCGATCGCCCGGATCAGAGGCTTACACAGGTGCAGCTTATTGATCTGAACACACACACACACACACACACACACACTCATCACTGAACTCTGTATCTCACAATTCTGACTTTTTCTCCAACAAATGCAAGTTATAAAGTCAGAATTGTGATAACTAGAAACAAATAACTGAAATAAGAGTACATTAAAACTATACAGTAATTACTCGTCCCATTAGTTAATATTAGTTATGCATTAACTAACAATGAGCAGTACATTTGTTACAGAATTTATTAATCTTTCTTAATATTAGTTAATAAAAACACAACTGATCATTGTTAGTTCTGTCAGGTCTATTAATTATATTAACAGAGACCACTTTTGGTCTTAAAGGGCTAGTTCACCCAAAAATGAAAATTCTGTCAGTATTTCCTCACCCAAACCTCTCTGTGTTTATTTGTTCTGCTGAACACTAAGGAAGATATTTGGAGTAATGATTTAATCAAACAGATCTCATTCCCCATTGACTACTATAGTAGGAAAAAATACACACCACGATAGTCAATGGGGAATGAGATCTGTTTGATTAAATCATTACTCCAAATATCTTCCTTAGTGTTCAGCAGAACAAATAAACACAGAGAGGTTTGGGTGAGGAAATACTGACAGAATTTTCATTTTTGGGTGAACTAACCCTATTAGTAAATGTTGAGGTTTCCTTTAACTAGGATTAATAAATGCTGTAGAAGTGTTTTTCATTAGTTTATGTTACACCTGTTGGCAGAATATTAATAAAAAAGCTGGACTCTTACTTTGAAATAGATCTTGAAGAGCTGATTGATCAGAAACAACATTCCCCATCTCTTGGAGTCATCGATCCCAGTGCGACTGAAACAAACACACTTTAGTTCTACAGTATAGAGTTTATATAGTGTCTATAACAATTATTTTTGATCGTTTAGCCTTCAATTACACCCTACTGTTTTTTTCTTCAAACTTTTATTCATGAAGGACTCATCAAGACTAACAGTAAAGATGTTAATAATGCTCAGACTGCCATAAACCCGTTAGTCGTGGTAATGGATCCGCCAGTGCTGATATGAGGCGGGATAGATCTGTAATAATATTAATATTGTAATATCTCTCATATTTCTGTGGTGTTAAGGCTTCTCCTGTGATGATGTCTCACTTGTCGTTGGCACAGACTCTGAAACAGCTCATCAGCTGATCGGCTGCTTTCTCCAGCATGTCTCCAACGTTCCCCTTCCCCTGCAGCTGCTGCTCCGCCTGCACACACACACACACACACACACACACACACACGCGCCGTCAGACGCTGCATCCGCTGCAGATCCACAGATGAATGAGTTCCACTCACATTATTGGCAAATATCCTGAGGTCAAGGGTCACGGCAAACATGATCGGCAGAGCCCTGAAAACACAGTGATCATCAGTGACCTGAGCGACCCTCATATTTCATTCCGGTGTGTTTGACCCAGAACTGCTACAAACAAATCTCTAAAAAAATACATTTTGCAAATGGATTAAGATGATCAAAACACACACATTTACTTTATAATTTTTTTGTAATTTTTGTAAAAAAAAAAACCAACTAATTTTTTACACTTTTTTTTTTTTTTTCAGATATAACCATTAAAATTTAATTAGTAATTTTATTTCAGCACCTTATGCGTTCCGGGTCAATTTTTTAATATAAAACAATCCCATGAGCCACGTCTCACCAGTTCTCCTCTTTATGAGCCTGAAACGCCCTCAGAAATGATGTTCACCTGCGTTAAGGTCAAACACACACACACACACACACACACACACAGCGACTGCGCTACACTAGAGCATCCACAGTAAAGGATATTGAACCACAACCGTCTGGCATTTGTAGGCCTCCACAAAGTCATGATTGGACACAGCGAACGTGCACCTGCAGAAGAAGAGACGAGACGCCTGTGAGCGTGAACACACACACACACACACACACACACACGATGAAGAATCGCACCTGAGGTGAGCGGCCACCATCTCGTCGTACGGCGGCTCCAGCAGCTGCTGACACTTCTCCTCCGGACTGGACAGCTGTGACACACACTCACATGTTAGTAATCATGCATCTGTGAGCTGTACACACACACACACACACACTCACCTGCAGGCGAGGGTTGGCCACATGCGGGTGTTTGAAGGACAGCATCTCAGCACAGAAGAGCCCGTCTCTGTTGTCTATTGCCTCCATAACCTTCCACAACACACACACACACATTATAGCACATGAGGAGCTCCAGTGACCCTTTACACGGCAGAGCACGGACTCACCTGCTGCAGGTACTGATTGAGCGTGATGTGCGCCATCCTGACCTCTGACCCCTGACCCAGTGCAGCTGAAACGAGAGCTCACACACTCACTCACTCAGTGCTTATAATGTCGCCTAGGGACACATTCAGCAGAAATGCTGCTGTCTACAGTAAACACACAGAGGCCATCCAGTACGCAGGAGATCCAGAAGTGTAGTATGCAGTGCGCTGTGGAACACTAGTGTGTGAGACACCTTCGATCCGGCGCAGCGGCTAACTCATTCACTCATTTACCGATTATTTGAGACGCGTTATTACATGTATATATGCGTTATAAACATTCTATTATACAAGCGACTTCATTGAAATTACTATTATTATTTTTTTTTACCCAAATTAACTCGCATCCCTTTGCGCGCGTGCTTGGCTTCACTGCAGGACCCGCTGACGTCACGGCAGCGCTTCCTGTTTACACCAGTGAACACGCAGTTTTGGCGTCCATACTGCACTTTCCACAAATGGAAATATTCATAAACTACCTCAGTTAAGCAACATTAAAGATCGGGTATTTCTCGATTTAACTTGCATGTCAAAGTGTGGCTTATTATAACACGATTCTGCTATGTAATTAAAAGGTTTAGATGAAAAAACATAGGAAGACTAACTACTGTGTTAAAGTTTGTCAACAATAATAATATTTTAGTCAGTTGAGCTTGTTATCATGAGGTAAAACGTCGAAATTGTGACTTAAATGTCATAATTATGAAATTAAAAAAATGTAAACGATCACATAAGTTAGTAAGTCATCCATATAACCTAAAAGTTTAACGTTATTGAAATAAAAAAGTAAAAAAAATCTAATCCGCGTTTCGCGTTTTATTTAATTTTTATTTAACGTTTTATTTAACGTTTCGCGTTTTATTTAATTTCATTATTTAAATCTCTTTTTCTATTTTGTAGAAGTTTCTCTGAAGAGAGGCGTGTGTTTGTCTGCCTGCTGATTCTCCGGCGGCAGATTCGCTGTTTGTTTGCCATCTTGTTATGCTGTTCGCCGCGGCGCGGATCAGTCAGAGTGAATATGGAGTAAATATGATTATTATCTGACGAATATCTGCTTATGTGTGTGTAGGCGTGTGTCGTGTCGATCCACAGCAGAAGCCGAACTCACTCCACCAGGGTTTTGGAGCCGCTTCCATGGCTCAGGTTCTAGTTTGGCTGTGTGTTTTGATTGCTAACAGCTAACAGAGACCGAGTCACTCTCTGCGTTTATTATATTTCATGTGTGAATGATATTAACCGAGATCAAATGATGGCAGAAGACATCCAGCACAATCAGAAATCAAACTTTAATGGACTCACCAAACCAGCCAAAGCAGGAGCGTCTAAGAAACTGATCATAAAGAACTTTAAAGGTGAGTTTCACTCCACCAGAACTAACGTTAGTCCCCGAGCTGACGGCGATGCTCTGTGTGTGAGTGACAGTCTGCTCATATCTGTCGGATAACACACTGATCAAACTATATATTAAACAGGATGGTGTGTGGGTGGGTTTTTTATTCTCTCTGTGTGTGTGTGTGTGTGTGTGTGTGTGTGTGTGTGTTCACAGACAGACCGAAGTTGACTGACAGCTACACTGAGGACACATGGCTGAAGCTGAGAGATGCTGTGGGAGCGATTCAGAACAGCACATCCATCCAGTATAACCTGGAGGAGCTCTACCAGGTGTGTGTGTGTGTGTGTGTGTGTGTGTGTGTGTGTATGCGGGCTGTACTTTACCAGGTGCTCACTAAAACACATTTACGATATAAGTAAGCAGTCAGCAATAAAAGAAGATCAAATAATCAAAATACGAGCAAAAACACGAATTAATACAATATAACAAAGATATAAATCAGATAAACAGTGCTTCTCAGATACTCAGTCACTGGTGTGTGCTCACACTGCATTATGCATGACTTTACAAGAGGAAGAATCACAGAAAACTTTAGTTAAACATGAAATTAAATCCTTATTAATGAATCATTATTAAATGTATTCAGTCAAAAGCAGTGGTTTTTTTTTTTGATGTTTTGTAAACATTAAAGACACAGACAGCATCAGGAATATCACGCTGCCGTCTCTTTAAGAGCGAACGCGCTGATCTAATACACTGATACACACGTGTTTATGTTCACATAACTGAGTGTGTCTGCTAAAGTGCAAGAAGACATGAAAGAGCTCAATTTAATATTTAATAATACAAATAATAATGCATTGTATTTATAATGCGCTATTCTTAAACCCAAAGCACAAAGAGGACGTCTTCTTGTGCTTGAATATTTAAATGACCCAGGTGTGTAATCTTGCGTCTGCTGACCGGCGACTGTCCCGAGCGTCGCTCACACACACACACACACGCTCACACACACACACACACACACACACACTGTTTTCTAATGTTTCCAGAAGTGTCTCTTCCGAAGCTGGGTTTATTCATGAGCAGAAGAGACTCTTTCAGAAACATTAAAACTTTTGAATGTTTCCAAGCGTCATACATCAGTAAAGTGTGAGCAGGGGTCAGCTGTGTCTGATCTGATGACCTTTATGTTTTGTGTGTGATGTCATGTGACTGCAGTGTCATCGTTTTAAAGAGGAATGGAAATGGACACAAGAAGCTCATCTACTGACTTATTTAAGAATGTGATATTTTCATCTGCTGTTTACCCATGATTCCTCACCTGTGTGTGTGTGTGTGTGTCTCCGCAGGCCGTGGAGAACCTGTGCTCGTATAAAGTGTCGCCCATGTTATACAAGCAGCTTCGTCAAGTGTGTGAAGACCACGTCCGAGCTCAGATCCATCAGTTCAGGGAATATCCTTCATCAGTGTGTGTGTTTGCCAGCTGTGCTTCACAGATAACGCTTGCTTTGCTCCGTCGGCCTGTGTGTGTGTGTGTGTGTGTGTGTGTGAGATCATCAGTGCAGGATAAAGCTCCCCTTAACAGAGTCGCACAGAATCGCTGGACAGCCTGTCCTTCCTGAAGAGGATGAACCGATGCTGGCAGGACCACTGCAGACAGACGGTGAGAGTGTGTGTGTGTGAGAGTGTGTGTGTGTGTGTGTGCATCTCTTTACACATGTTCTGTCTCGTCTCCTTCAGATCATGATCCGCAGTATTTTCCTCTTCCTGGATCGGACGTATGTCCTCCAGAACTCTCTGCTTCCCTCCATCTGGTGAGTCAGTCCACCAATCACAGACCTCCGCTGAGACGCTGATTCTTAGATTTACTGTTTTCTTTAAATTTTTATTTTAAGAGTTTCAGAGTTTTATTTATTTTAATACATCCAGTTAAATGAAATGTAGTTTTTATATATATTTGTAATCTGTTTTAATTTTAAGTTTTGTAATTTTGTTGTTTTTATTTGTGTGTTTTATTTTAAAAAAAAATTATTTTGAAGTTTTGGTTATTTTGTTGTGTGCTTTTGTCATTTTAATATTTTTTAATTATTATTAAAATAAAATGTAAATTTTTTTATTTCAGTTAAAGCTCGTTTTATTAAGTTTTTCAGTTTGTTTTATTAAACGGTTACACCGTGAGCTGGTGTTGCTATAGTTACACACGTGTGTGTTCAGGGACACGGGGCTGGAGTTGTTCCGCACACACATCGTGAGCGACAGCGGCGTTCAGAGCCGGACGGTGGAAGGCATCCTGGAGCAGATCGAGCGCGAGCGCAGCGGGGAGACGGTGGACCGCAGTCTGCTGAGGAGTCTACTGGGCATGCTCTCAGACCTGCAGGTGATTGGACGCTCAGATGATGATGTCAGCACGCAATAGAGCGGAAGCCGCCTTTCCAATGCACACCGCATTCACATTCGCATTTCGCCCCCTAGTGGCCGTCGCACGCTTCTGAAATTGGTGTGCATGATGATTTTAAGGCATGTGTGAATATATGAAGAGTTCAGAGGCAAAAGCCTCTAAATGCCATTTAAAATTTTCTTCTTTAATGATGATTTTTATCAAGCTTGTATATTTAAGTTCAGTAATTTCACTTAAATAACAATGAATAGGTAATTATCATTGCCATTTAAGTGAAATCACTGAACTTAAATATACAAGCTTGATAAAAATCATCATTAAAGAAGAAAATTTCAAATGGCATTTAGAGGCTTTTGCATCTGATCTCTTCATATCCACACAAAACTAATGACCCTCAATCGCACCGTCTCTGTTGACTCTGTGTGTGTGACGCTGCCGCCGCGTCATTTATGACTCATAACAATAATCATCTGCTGCAAACAAGCTGAACCCCAGGAATACGTGTTTATACGCTGTCGACCCAAAAAAACGAGTGTTTAACTTGTTGATTAATCGTGCAGCTCTTGTGTGTGTGTGTGTGTGTGTAATACTACTAATACTCAGCTGTGGTTGTGGACGTGATCTAGCGGTGTGTGGTGCTCTGTGTCGTCAGGTGTACAAGGACTCGTTCGAGCAGCGGTTCTTAACGGAGACGACCCGTCTGTACGCCACTGAGGGACAGAGGCTCATGCAGGACAGAGACGTGAGAGCTGCGTTCCTCCTCACACACACACACACACACACGCTTCACATGTGCGTTCTGACACGTGTTTGTTCTTCACAGGTTCCCGAGTATCTTCATCATGTGGCGCGGCGTCTGGAGGAGGAGAACGACCGGGTCATCAGTTATTTAGATCAGAGCACACAGTGAGTGAGAGAGTGAGCGAGTGAGTGATTGATATGATGTCATCATCATATTTGCATACTGGCGTGTGATTGGTCCGTGGGCAGTAGAGCGGACACAGATGCTGATTGGTCTAAATAAACACTGAGTGTAAGTGTGTGTGACAGGAAGCCTCTGATCGCCGCCGTGGAGAAGCAGCTGCTGGGCGAACACATGACCGCCATTCTGCAGAAAGGTCAGAGTTCAGATAGAGATGTGAGCACTGAAGTCATGACACACACACACACACTCTCTCAGCTGATGTGTGTGTTCTCCTCAGGCCTGCGCACGCTACTGGACGAGAGCCGCGAGTGTGAGCTGACGCTGCTGTACGAGCTCTTCAATAAAGTCAAGGGCGGCCTGACGGCACTGCTGCAGTCCTGGAGAGAGTACATCAAGGTACACACACACACACACACACACACACACACACACACACACGGTGGAAAAGTGTTTCTTCGAGTTTCTTTCTTAAAGGGTTAGTTCACCCAAAAATGAAAACTCTGTCAGTATTTACTCACCCTCATGTTGTTCCAACCCTGTAAGACCTTCGTTCATCTTCGCAACACAAATTAAGATATTTAAGATATTAAGATCGCTCCTGCATACTAGTCCATAGGCTTCTTGAGGGAAAGACTCGAAAAGTCATTAAAGACATCGTTAAAATAGTCCAAGTGACTACAGGAGCTCAATCTTAACTTTATCAAACGAC